TTTTGTCGGAGACTCCGTTACGAACCACCACAAAGTCAATGTATTTTCATTATTTTTATTTAGTTCGAGAAGCTCGTGGGACCATGTAACAGGCGCACAACTCACAGCACACAAGTAAATATAGTACAGACAGTGTAATTTTTTTAAAAAAAGTACAGAAGATTTATGCTCAGCTCAATAGACTTTCCTTAACCAACTCTCTAGGCTTCACCAAGGCTTATTACCAGTACTACTACTATCATTATTCATCACCTATCCCCCTGTAGTTTAGATTTTATAGACAAATTAAAGGCACATCATGCAAAAAATTAAAATGCCAATGCAGGCAAAGAGGAAGTGACTGTTAAATCACCCTGAGATGACAAAGTTTTCAACTTGAATACAAATAAACTTCATTGTTTCTACCTCTGGCTCCTCCGCGTTCGAGTTTAACTATAAAAATGACAGTATGACGCAAGCATTGTGAGCGTCCTATATATGTCCATAATGAAAGCGAATCAGTGAATCTTATTTTTCTGACGCCAGCAAGGTAATGTTATATAATATATTGTTGCTCCCAGAAGGGAGACAGCACTTCAAGCGAGCAATCCTCACAAGTAAAGAAGCCATACGGAAATGTAAGAACCCTTCCCTTGAAGGAAAGAGTTGACAATCTTTCTCCCCCCCCCCCCTTTACACTCCATTTTCACGGAACTCTCCTTTTCCCCCCTCGGTCACGTTTTAATAATGCGAGCGCGCTTTTCAATAGACTGGATGATTAACCATTTAGTTAATTTTCTTTGGCATATCATGCATGTATGTGTTACATAAGCGACGAAGCATGCTTGGATGGATGGATAGCTTTTGGCTCTACAAAAGGAAGTGGAGATTTTGACGAAGAAAGAGGAAGATAAAAGGGAGTGAAAAGGAAAGAAGGAATTAGGAGGAAAGATGTGAAAGTAAATTAAGGGCGGAGCAGTTTTTGACTAGAGCGTTTGAAGTGCTTGACTAACTATAAAATCTGACAGGAAGATGATGTAATGAAAATGAAAGAAAGAGTACTTGGCCTTAAATATGTCTCTGCATTATGGAGGCAATTAGAGAGGATTGATTGAAGCAGAAGAGGATGTCAGAAGAGGGGTACGATCAAGATGGCGTGAGGATGATGGGAGGAGAGAAGAAAAGAGGTTTGAAAAATCAAGAGGAGGAGGGGAGGAGGTACGAGTTCGCCTAAGAAAGTGGGGGGCTCTGCTCTATGTCATGCTGTGTCTCGTTTTAGCTTTGCAGATAAGGAAGCTCTTTTGCATCAAAGAGGAACTGGCAGTGTTGGGAATTGAAGCGTCCTTGGAGGAGACAGGAATGGAAGGCCCTGCTGCCCTACTGGGGGAACCTTGAAATGCAAGCAATGCTTTACTCAGATATACGAAGGGAAATCACATGGAATAAATTATCACGCCCCAACACGCAATACACGAGTATCAAAGCAACGCTGCAGATGAAATCAACGGACACAGTATATTAATTTATTCGAGCAGAGTCAGCTGTAAGTAGTAAGATATTTAGTGTATTTTTTGTTCGGCCCGAAAAATTTTTAGTGAGTTTTAGGCATTTCCTTTTATATATAAAATATTATTATGTGAATTTATTTAAGCTGTAACTTCCGCATACTTTAATATCTGATTTTTTTTGGACGGATTTTAATATCTGATTTTACTTGTACAAGAAGCGTGTAGAGACTAATTGAGCCAAAAAAAGGAAAAAGGGGAAACGAAACGTAAACTGGATTCCCGAAATGGATTAAATGCACGTATCGTGTACTTGCATTGTCAGTGAAGGGACGGAGTCGAAGAAGCTTGGTGTCTTGCAAATGGAAAGCGGAGAAAAAAGAGAGAGACTCTCTCTCTCTCTCTCTCTCTCTGTGGTTGGGGGGGGTGATTGGCGGGAGTGTGGGGTGGTGAGGGAGGGGAGGACTAATCAAATATTCGATGAGAGCTCCTAAAAAGATCGAAACATGATTACCTTGACCACTAGGATTCCTGAATAAAAACACAGAAGAAATGCTCTATGTTTTAAATGCTCTTGGCTGGGGAAAAGCAGAGTTATCGGACCAAACTAGGGCAAGCCCTGAAGAGGCTCGGTACCTGAGAGATTGCAGAGATACTTCCATGAGACAGATCACAGGCACCAAGTTACGGAACAGTTAACGTTTGTCACTATAAAGTTATTTATGTTTGGATTTTCTTTTTTTTTCAAGAAATCAGATAAATTAGAGGGAAAATGACAATTGAGGACTTAATAAGGACATGAATTTCAATTAAGGACTATAAAATTTTACAATCCCAATTAAAAACCATTGGGATAAAAAAAATGTATTTTGTCTAAAATGCCCCTGAAAAAAAAAACTCAATTATATTATTTTTACAATGTAAGTTAGACAATTTTTTCACGTTGGGTTAGTAAATTTTTAGATGGTGTTAGTGAATTTCACCACACATTAATGGATCTCAATTTAAACAAGTTACTTTTTTTTAAAAAAAATTAATTCTTAAATGAGGTTTTATTTTTTCATAATATACGTTAGAAATTTTCTTACGTTGAGTTGGTGAATTTTTAAGTGACTCTTTTTATTAAACAATCGATTCTCAAATAAAATTTTATGTTTTCACAATATACATTAATAATTTTCCTCAAGTTAGATTAGTGAATCCACAAATGATATTAGTGAATCTCACTTCATGTTAGTGGATCTTAGGGGCATTTAAGACAAACTATATTTTTTTTATTCCATGATCCTTAATTGAGATTTTAAAATTTTATGATTTTTAATTGAGATTAATCTCCTCAGGAAGTCCTTAATTGTTATTTTTTAATATTAAAATTTATTTAGATGATTTAATTCAAAACCCCATTGAAATGTATAAGGACAAAAATGAATATTAGTTTTAGGAAAAACATAATTTTTAATCATATAATTTTATCAAATTTTACTTTTAATTTTTATAGGGATTAAAAATATTAAAAAATTTGACCTAGTTTTTTTAAAAATATGGAAATTGAAAATATTAAAAAAATTACAAAAACTAAAAGCAAACGTAAAATATAGAGGCTATGATTGTATCTTTTTTCTTAGTTTTATTGTCTACATTTTCGTGACTAATTTTATCTTTAAAAAAAATCATAAAATTTAAATTTCATTTTTTTAAAAGGTAGACTTAAAATATCTAAAATAAATTTTTCTTTTGACAAAAAAACATCTAAATAAATTAATTATTTTGGAAATCATAACTTTTGAAAAGAGTAAGAATGAAATGATAAATTATAGTCTAGATATAATTAAAATTTAAGAAATAGTCAAATTTGATCTTCTTAAAAAATATTAAACTTAAAATTAAAATTAAAAACATTGATATTTATAAATTATAAAAATATAAATAAATTAATATATCTTAAACAATTTATGATTTGAGGAGGATTTGGAGTTGACCGAAGAATAGCTCTGCAAATGGCATACGTGGCTTGAGCATCGTTCAAGGAAGAAATAAGGTGGAATCGCAAGGTGAATACTTTCTCTAAGGCCTCGTTTGGTATGATGGAAGAGTTTTTGATGGAATCGAAATCGAAATTGGAATTGGAATCGAAATTGAAATCAGAATAGAATTGAGTTATAAATGTATGTTTGGTATGAAGATGGAATCTGAATATAATATTAATAAATATATGTATTTAAAATAGATAAAGACCAAAATGCCCTTATAAAAAAAATAAAAAACTCAACCATCATGATAGAGTGTGTATGTGGGGCACTTATGACAATTCCATGGAATTGTAGCAATTCCATCATGATGAAGATGGAATTGAATTCTACGTATTTTGGTTGAATTGGAATCCATAAGGAATTGGATTCATGCATACCAAACAAGTGAAAACATGATTCCAATTCCATTTCTCTTGGACCCAATTCTAATGTACCAAACATCACCTAAGTTATACAATTTATGCAAGGTTAGAAGGTGCTGGGGTTGTACAGCTGCTGGGAGAACTAGCTAATAAATAAAAGCAATGAAAGATGTTCACTGATTCCCCCCCCCCCCCCATCTCCTCATCCCTTGATGAACTCAGCTACTGCTAAAGTTCACTTCAATAAGATTGTTATGTTCACCGAACTACTACAACCACGACACCACACCCTCACCTTCCACCATTGGATCAATTCTCCTGCTCCACAGACAGCAACAACCAGTGACTTCTTCAATACAGAGGCAAGATGAGTGTCAAGCTAGCGGGTAAGGAAGAGTAGAGAGACTGACACAATATCCACCGCTGCTACAACAGCGAGCAAACAGAGACACGATGCCCGAGCAACACAGTCGACAGAAGATCAAACAACAACAATGGCAGTGAGCACAATCTCCGGTCAGATCTGCGCCGATGAGGAGGAGGTGAAGAGCTCTCATGAAGGCACTCATGAACGGTTGAAGAGTGAAGGCAAAGCACACAGATTAGGCAAAGGTAAATGAAGAGAGAAATTAAATGCTGCCAAGGTGCACCACCAAATTTGAACACTCGTTTGAAAGCTCCCTCAAGTGGCTACAATGAAAACGCTCGTTCACCCTTGGACACTCGTTTACTTTTTCCTAATCCTAACAAGATCAAATGAGCTTTTAAATCCAACCTAGGTTTGGACCACCCCAATCTAAGTTGAGATGTAATCCAAACATAGCCTTAGGAGTTTTTTTCATATCGCGTTCAGGTGGAGTTATCTTTCGACAAACTTCCGTCCCTCCCTCATTTTCCAGACAAACATGAATCACATTAAATATCAGCAAAAACATTGATTTTTCCTTTTCAACGCTTCTATGGTAAATCCCAGGGCAACTTCCATGAGCAGCATATTAAAGAACTGCCACAAGGCAACAAGACGAGGTCATTTAATATGCTGCAAAGTTGCAAGCACACATTGATAACCATGGAAACCAGCACGATGCAGTCAATCTGTGTTAAATATGGCAGTCTGACAAAAATTATAAGAGAACTCTTTCCAATTAAATATCAATGGCAATTGCAAAACTTTCAATAAACATGAATGTTAAGTTGCACCTGATGGAAAGAAAGCAACATATTTTAAGCAATACAAAATGGAAAACTAAAAGATTCATATGTGAATAAGCTGATCAATTTGATCAATCTTCATCCTCTCCCTCGTTCTCAGCAATGTTGAAGTATCTTAGTTCATAAACACTTCTATCCTTGTTAGAAGCAATCACTCTAAGCCAGTCCCTCACATTGTGCTTCTTTAAATATTTCTTTGTCAAGTACTTCAAGTACCTGGAATCATATATGGAAAGAGAAGCGTTAGAGAAAGTGCGGAACCAATTTCATGGAAACCAACATGTACTTTTGTATACAAAACTTCAAAGACTATTTTTCCGAATGTTGAGGTTAGAGTGGCTCAGTATGCATATATGAACACAATCTGTCTATTCTAATCAGTCACCAATATTTTCCAATTTGAACCATCGAAAACAAGCAATAGAGTAATCAGAAACACAGGCTGAACTTCCATGTTCAAGAGAACACAATTCACAGCACAAAAAGCCAGTGCAAACTGAACTTTTAATGGCAAAACATTGAATCACAGGTCAATGGAGCAAGCTAAGCTGCACAACTGGATGCGTCATCAATTCAGCGTGCATGCCTTTATACTCCCAAACAACAATGAATAATAATAAAACCCCAAATTTTCATGCCAATTCATTATCCACACCAAACAATGAACGTAAACTTATCACATAAAAGCAATGAGATAGTCCGAGATTCAAGACATGACACTACAACAAGTAGATCTTGCCCAAGGGCTAATATAAGAGCTTGCATATCACATTCTGACAATCAAAGGTTTGTTTGAAATCAACTGATTGAATGAATGCAGGTCTAATTCCCATTGGACAATACAAATATGAAACTAAGAGTTATCTCTGCACGAGTCCTTGTATGAGCTAAGGGTTAAGAATGAAACTGCACAATCAGTTTTCAATTTTAAAATTTAACGTTATGAATATGGTTGAAGTAAATTAAACTACCGCTTAGAAAAGTTACTGTCAGAGGCAACAGTAATCTTGTTCTTGTCACGGGAAACAGTGACAGATTCACCAAGAGCACCAGCCTTGCCGCCGACTTTAATCCTCTCTTGAAGAAATTTTTCCAGAGATGCAATGTCCATGATCTTGTCCTCCACTGGCTTGGAACAATCAATGGTGAAAGTAGCCCCCTTCTTTTTCCCCTTGGGAGCAGCTGCACCTCCTCGACTCATTTTTTCTTTGGGACTTCTGCACCCCTCACAATAAAGCAATTTTTTTTTAAAAAATACTAAATAAAAAAAAATCAGCGTAAAGTTTTCTGCATTTATATGGCACACTCTTTGAACTCGGGGGCACGGTCATCAAGTTTAAATATTCTTGCTTCAACCTCGGGTGACAATGCTACCAATTTCTTTTATTTTTTTCTTCATAAGACTGTTCTACTTATCCGCGCAAGCCAGAATGCAAAATATATATAGAGAAGCATACAAGTGCATAACTTTTTTTGCAGGGAAACATTTGCCCTATTAATTTTTATAATGTAGCATACAGGATCAGAAGACAGGAGCTATATAAAGTTCCCAACAATGTTAAATTGGACGGAAATAAGGGCGAAAACGCTTTGTCCGTCTGATTAATATCTGGAATCTATTTCAAATTGGACAGAAGGTGAAGCAAGCAGGTTCTCATTATCACAAATCTAGTGTTTAAATCCAGAAAACTAAGACCTCATGATGAGCTTCGCGTAAGGAGAAATGAAATAAAAGGTTCCATAATTCAGTCAATATCAACGAAATCAAAGAAGGCGTAAGGAGAAATGAAATAAAAGGTTCCATAATTCAGTCAATATCAACGAAATCAAGCAAGAAAAAACACAGAAAGCGTTACCGCTCGCCAACACCGAATAGAGCAGCCAAAGGGGAAGATTGGCGGCTTCAAAGACTCCACAGGAAGGGGGGAAAAAATCAAGGTTTTGATTTATATTGGGTTAGGTCAGAGTTAAGAAAACAGGCCGGCCCGCAGATTTCAGTTAGGGTTCGCATTGAAAAGGTTTGTTTTTCTGGATTCCAACCCAGCCCGCCGATTTTTTATATTTGCGCTTTTTAAATCTGAATTTTTCCGTAAATAAAATCCATTTTTTCTTGTAAAATAAATTTACTCACTCTAACTTCTAAGCTTCATTCACATGCTTCTTCCAATAGTGAAAAACCAAAGATGTCATTCTCCTATCTCTCTCGCCACCCTCAATTCTAGTAAATTTTCGAAACTCACATATAGGAGATTAAGTATAGCTGTCATAGAGGCTTTTAATGTTTTAATGTGAGTTATTTTGCTGAGAATATTTTTTTGGGATTTTGTGAAGCTATATATAGGCTACAAATTGAATATGTTTGGCAAGTTTTTTCCCATTTGATGCATAATTTTTATACACATTGAAGCCACTTTACTGCATTGCTACAATGATGCATTACTTCCATTATAAATTAATGGGTTCTTAAAGGAAAAAAGGAGGATTGAATTGACATCCGTTCATATGTCATTATTGTTGAATTCGTTGAATGTAAATATTGGTTAATGACAAGTCTGAAATTTAAACTGTTTTTGTTGGGCTAGAAATATCCTAAACGCATGAGCTGTCTTCAGAGATTATAGTTGGTGCATCGATGAAATAAAAATATTATGAGCCTTTATATGTTCCTTTTTTTAATTATATGGGTGTTTGGTTAAATCAAAACTAGACATGTTTTTTAAGTGGATGTTATACAAATGATGAGGAGATGAGACATCAATTTTTAAACATAGCATTAACCCATTGTATGCTTTGGTGATTTAAATATCATAATATTACCCCATTGGACATGAAATTGACCCTGGTTTTATTCAATGGTTGAGAAATATCTCATATCGGCGTAAGTATGTCATATAGCTTTATTGGGATAAGTTTAGAGTAATCTACTTACTATGCTAAATTTATGGTGTGTGATATTTTTTTTAAAAAAAATGATATGGTGTCTACAATCTTGCACTGTTTTATGGACGTTGCTGGAAAATGTCTTCTTTTTTCATTCACATACTAATATTTAAATTGTGGGTGATGTCTGCATGTGTTAATTATAATTTAATTAGAATCATTGTTGTTAAGGTATGAAAATATTTTTCATATAATTGAAATATTTCAAAGTGTGGGGTACTTAATGTGTGGAGCATTTTGGAAAAAGTTATTTTTCTTTACTGAATATGTGGTACCAAAATATTAACCTCATTTTATAAATGCCAAGATATTATTTTGTGTTGTGATTTAGAGAAGAAAATTAATTAAGAGGAGGCTATTATTTTCATGAAAGCAAAAATTGTTAATTATGGAATTTTTGTGGCTTAACTTGAAACAAGCGTTGTCAAATGTAAGTGCATGACTTATTTATCTTGGCATAAATATTGATTATTGTGGATAATGATTTATTTACATGAGTGTTATGATCCTATTAGATAAATTAAATATTTTTTGAATTATGATATTATGACTAGTGGATTCCTATTATATAAGAGACATGATGTTAACTAAATTATAAAATTGTATGAGAAAATTCATCAGTGATTATTCACTCTCGATAATGATGAAATCAAAATATAATGATAGAACCATAGTGGAGTCCTAGTTCATTAATTTGAAATTGGATTGGAAGCTAGGTTGTTGGAGATCTTCTTAACAATTATTTTGATGCGTAAAATCAACACTTAGTGTTGATGAGTTCTCATGATGCTAATATATTATTTAACAAAAAATGATATATTTTGTTACTCAATATATGTGTACACAAATTTTTGAGAATTTGTTGCATTGATCAATATTAATCCCATGATATAACTATATTGCACAAAGATTGAGCATAACATTTAGTCTCATAACAAGATGAGATGAATGAGTATTTAAGGGATGCCATAAATATTGGTATTATGCATGGTTGGATTTTCATTGTATTAAAAAATACAATGAGGTTGACCGAATTTTATATTCTGATGAAAAAAATCTATTGATAGCCAAATAAAATATCATGTGAATTAGAGTTTATTACTCTGAAGTTAGCTAATAATGATGCTAAATAATTGAGAAACTTCTTAATAAATATTGTATTGAAAGTAAAAATGACACATGCTATGTCGATGATTTGTGTAATTGCCAAATGAAATTAATCAAAGAGAATAATGGTACGTAAACACCATTTGAGATACAATTACATATGTTAAAAAAGGGAGTTATCTAATCAATTATGTGATATTAGATATAAATTTGAAAGATCTGTTAACTAGCCTCTAAGGAAGAATTTAATTATTTAAATGTTGAGGGAAATGGGACTTGAGCCACTTTAAAATTAATGGTAATGTCAATCCAACTTTTGTAATTAGAGATCTCATAAAGAACGTTCAATGAGTAAGAATAAGTCATTTGTTAGTTATGCTAGCACTAAACTTTTTTATTCCTTCCTATGGCTTGAGAAAGTATTAGGATGCATTGATCGAAAACTTAGCGAAAGCTCTTATTGTTTTTCCTAATCCTTATGGATGGTGTATTCATTATAAATACACTTGATGAAAATACCTATACAAATGTGGAATGAGGCCGCTGTTATGAGTTTATGGCAAAATTTCTAGAGCATTTGTTAAAACTTTTAATATACGCTTAAAATTTGTTAGTTTTTAGAAACATAGTCTCACTGACATTTTTGTATACTAAGTTTTATTAATTTAGGTCTGATTTATAGAAACATAGTTTCACCAGATTTAAAATGGTTATATTCCATGTGAATAACTCAAATGATACCGATCCTTTTGACATATGTGGAGAATTATTATAATTGTATCAAAAAAGAAAGTCTCATGTTACTTAAATGAATGTAGGCCCTTGTGCATGTAAACTAAGGTGTGGACATGGGCTAGTAAATAGACTTAAAAGAGAAATGAGCCCTTGCATATGATTGTGCAAACCAGTTGTGGTATTAAGCAATTTTTTGAAATTTTAAAAAAATATTTTGCGGAGTTACAAAATTATTTGTATAAAATAGTTTTTCAAGAATTTTTTCCTTCATTTTAAAATATGTAAGGATTGTTGGATATTATAAAATATTTTAAATATTTTAAAATGAGTTATTTATAAATTACTAATATTAATTACCATAACCTCCTACTTAAAAATATTTATCCAACCTCTCTATTTTTATAATGGACTTTTTATTGTTATTAATGTAGTTTTATTGCCCAATTTTTTGATGTCTCTACCTATAAAAAGCAGTACTTGCCATAGGTTCAAGAAAAGCCTTTGAGTTTTCAGACTTCTCTCTTATCACACTGTTTCATATGTGCTATTACTTGAGCTTATTATGTGAATTTTTGTTGTTTAATATCCCTGCTTTTTGTAGAAAGAGTCTGTTTAATTTTAAGGAACTATCGCTGATCAACTCAATGTGACAAAATAAATCTTAAGGATATTATCTTTGAACACGATTCAAACTATGATTTTACTTATTATTGCTCACAAAATGTACTCCGGTCAAAGATTGACATTGTATTCCTGAATTATGGAGCTCTGTTACAAGAGCTGGTAGCTCTTGTGTATCAACCAGGAAGCAATGCTAAGGCTCGTCGGGCTCTCTAGGCCTATCATCAAAAGCATAGGCAATACAACTGCCATGCAAGCACCTGTATTGCTTCTTGAACTCGAGGATCAAACAGCCATAGAGGATGAGCCCAATTAGGACAAGTAACCTCGTCATCAGACCAAAATGGCTTCTTTTTCATCTCGCCTGGTTCATCAGGACACAATTTTCAATAAGAAGAAAACCATGTACATAGTCGCTTCCATGCTTGGGAAAGAAATCGCTTGACCTCATTGTCAATGAACCACATTGATAGAGATTCGAATACCAAGTCCAGTGGCTCTCGATTAAGGAATGGGTCGGACAGGTTACCTTGACAAAATCGATGATGTACTTTAAAGGTACTTTTTGTTGTGAAGCAGGCTACCACTATGGCAAAAATGATAAATTTAAACATAATTGAGGAACCTTCATAATGATTTGGTGTTCGGCCTATTGTAATGGTAGACAGCGCTCTGACTGGCTCTGAAATTTTCTGGCAACCACACAGCCTGCCCTTGTTCCCTTGCCTTTAAGGGTATAAAGTAAGACTTATGTCACGGGACCATTACTCTCTTCTCGAAAGGCTAACCTATTAGGACATACAGTGCACCCACCCATATAGCCAAGATCCTCCCCAAGTCCCTCTAATGTGAAATCTGACAACTCCCTTGACTAATCTGTGACATCCCCATCACGGGTGGCCCACCAGAGGGGCCCATCAACTGAGCAAGCTCGATTCTGACTCTGATACTACTTTATCATGAGACTATTACTCTCTCCTCAAAAGGCTAACCTATTAAAATATGCAGCACATCTGTTTATATAACCAAGACCCTCCCTAAGCCCCTCTAATGTGAAATCTAACACTTTGATGGCTTCTCATGGGCCAAAAACCTAACGGGGGAAGTTTTTTCTCAAGCGACAATCAGCCAGAGCAGATGCGCTTGAACGTTCGTGTTCTTCTTTTTATGTTTGATACGGACGCTCATGCCAAAGCTGTATTGATATAAAAGTCAAGGCACTTATTCACCTCCATTCCCTGGCAAGTGCTCGTAATCGAAGACCAGTGAGTACATAATTTGCACGGCTACAATATCTTATGTATGATTCTAATTAAAGGCCATAAAACCTGACCCTAAAATCAGAATGTAGTTAAAAAAAAAAAAAAATCAACGCACAGTTACATAACTGCTGCTTTGAAGTATCTTGTATTAAAAATCAAAACAAAATTATATAAATCCTTCATAGATCACAATTAAGAGAATCAAATTATATTGAACTTGAAAACCGCGACACTAGTTTTGTCATTTAAGGTTATAAACCCGACACTAGTGATCTGAGACAAACCAAAATTATGAAGCCATACATAAAATAATCTCGTCAAATGATTTCGATGTTCTCAGCAACAGAATCACTGGCTCTTCCATCAAAAGCAGCGCAGCTGGGTCATATAATCAAATGGCACACCTTTACCCAGATCTTGACAGTTTCCATTGAATCCCATTAACATAACTACCAAAATCCAGTGCTTAGACCCTAAGCATCGCTTGGTACCACAAAAACTACACATGCCAAAATCACAGGTACAATACTAACTGTCCATCCAAGTCAACGTACCACAGCCCAAGCATAATAGCGTGAGTACCGGCACCTATCGAGTGTCCTGATGTTTTTCACCTCTCAATTTAATATTGTTCGTTATAACCAATGGATTCTACAAATGAATCTCAGGTAGCCTAGTGTTCCATCTATCAATTAACAGAAGCATTACAGATAGTGTGCTCATTAATGAGTCAACGATCTCCGGATTCAACAGATCTGCTACGCTCAGATCTCACCTGCCAAATACACGTACATCGTCAGGAGACCTCCACACAAATTACAAAAGCAGAAATTAGGATTGCTAATCAACTAAAAGACTATAGTGGCTCGAGGGTAATAAGCATACTGAAGGTGAACGAGATTTTGAAATGCTTCTAGGACTTCGGCTAGGACTGCGACTCTTGTGAGGTGGAGACTGCACAGTAGAACAGGACAACGTATAAACTATGTCACAGAATGAGTTCGTGTTAACATAAATATGTTACAAAGTTACCACCCACTATAATGTGTTTCTCATTCTCTCCCCTTTTTCCTCCCAGGTTATTGGTTGGCCGAAGGAATTCAAGTTAATGCAAAATGTCAATCAAATCTAGTAGTCATAAATGTTCGCTCCACTCCTTTTAAGACCAATAACATATTGCAGGCCAAAAAAGGAACACTTACAGATGAATTTGGTGATCTAGATCTTGACCGAGATCTGCAAAATTTTGAACAAACAAACCCACTTAATATCCAGAATAACCCACCAAAACGTTTGTTCCTCAAGCCCAATACCAGTTTCACATCAGCGTTTCCATAACAAAGGGAAAGAAATTGATCTACCACAGGTCCCACGCAGCAACCAAGTGAAAAAGTATTTGAGCACAGTGTCTCATATTTTTAGTCTCAACAATTGCTACACAACTCATTCCCAGCAGTGCATGATTCCTTGTTAAGGAGCAGATATATAGACAAAGCCAGCACAATAAGAGAAATCCTAAAGAAAGGACAAGATCAATCCAAGAATCAAGAGCACGAGTTATGTTGAAGCAGTTTTTGGATTGAAAGAATGCTGATTTGCTATGGTTAGTACCAATAGCGCTTAGTTCACAGTGATCCAGCTTTTTTAGATTGCAATTCATCCATCTACGTTCATCCAGTCTACAACAGTGGCACACCGTGCCTAACATCAACATATCATTACTGTATCAATTGTCACAGCATTAGGGTGTTCAGAGGTGCTCATCAATAAAACAGCATTACCTCGACCAAAAAAGTTGCAAGCATTTGAGCACCGCATGCCATCAAGATCCTAACATGCAGTCCCCAGGTCACTGCAAAATTCCACATCTAGCAAACAAACAAGTCAACCCTATTGAACATTGTATAGCCTGCGCTCAACCTGGTGACCCACTGTAATCCCCCCATCACCTTCGCACAAATGAAGAATTGTGCAGATATGCCCATGAGACACTAGGTTTTACGAGATAGAATGGACGGAATTACAGTATTCACTTTCAGACAATTACGAGGAAATGAAATATTCCCTCAACTTCAACTTAAAGAAAGAAGACAGGGAGACTCCACATATGCTATTGACAACATAAGACCCTGATAACACGCTGCCACTCAAATTACAAAATAATGACAACAACAATAAGTGAAACCCTCGACTATGTGCAATAAAGCCGTGAAAGAACTCTGCATATCTCTCCTCAATGGGAGAGGGGACACCTAATAGCAAAGCTCCAAATGCAGCACTTCAGACTGCCAATCTTCTATCAAAGAGATAGACACGATACAACACCAAATAGGCAAACGATGATTAAAGCAACCAAACATTCCTCGCTGGAAAAAAAAGGTCCGAGCAAGTCCGTCCATTTAATATAAATGATGAGGGGAAATACTTCATGATAACAATAAATGATGCAGCTGCCTGCCATACTGCATCACACCTTTGATTGATTAAAAAATTCAGCCTCTATGAGTAAGGGCTGCGCCAGTCAATGGGGGGGGGGAATAACTAAAACTTGTTGGCAGTTTAAAATTTATAAGCAGTAATTTAATAAACCTATGATTATCATTTAAGAGTCCCCTACTCCTCCTTTATTTTCTGAACAAAAGGGTCCAATCAAAATTCAAATATTCAAAAATCATTCCAAATATCTAATAAGTTGATGTGGAAATTAGCAACCCATCAATAAAACTGCACACTTGTCGAACTAATTCAAAACTGACCTTGATAATGATCGTCGTGAACGTTTTGCTCGTGCAGACAAGCTGCAAAGCTAGAATATCAGTTCAAATTCATGATTACCGGGCATAGACTAAATCATACTTCAAGTCTCCAATGAAATGAAATGGACCTTTGGCTCCTGTCACTGTAGCTAGGACTTTGACTTCGCGTCATGTAAGGGCTGCGACTTCTAGAATAGCTTCTCCTTGAATCACGGCTAGGACTCCTAGAATAACTTCGCCGATCATATTCCCTCACCTAAAACACCGAGATAGATAAGTGATTGAAAACAAATATACAAACATCACATATTTTTACTCAAGAATATAATCATTCTTCTCCTTGCCATTGCAGATCGGTAGTCTAGAACGTGCCAACAAACTTACAAGCCAGTCAGGGAGCGCACGTGCACAAAAAAAAAAAAAAATAGTCATCACATACCCGTATATATGCACGAGAGAAGGCATTACGGAATTCTGAGTCATCAAGCTTCCGGATCTGTTAAAAAATTGCAAATAGTAATGAAGCCTATGCCATCAATGATAAAGACACCAATCACAAACTCAACTTCCAGGGCACGGGCAGGTCAGATATGAAGCGTTATAAAATATGCTGACATTAAGATTCAGATCACTTACAGCATATTTCATATCATCATAGTTTGTATAATCCACTATCCCAGTCATACCTGCACAAAGTTCCACAAAAGTCTAAGAAATGTATTCTGAAAAAAAAAAAAAAATCATTCCATCAAAAAAGAAGAAGAAGAAAATTGTCTCTGGCATAAGTGACAAAGAGTTACAATGCACGGTAATGGTTATTATTTCAGGCTACCTTTTGGGACCTAATTTTTACCAAGTCAGGTTCAGCATGATTATGAGTTATAGTATACTAAGTCACCTACTTGCATCAATCAGAACTGACATTACAAGAAAATATAGCTCCTGTTTGTTCAAGCTTTTAACAATAATCAGAATCTAGAAAGTGAAGTAAAAACATTGTGAAGTTACTTTCAGTAGGTTCTAATCATTCTGAAAAGCATTGTGACAGTAAAAAGTGCTTATTATGATGATAATCAAACGCAATATTGCTTCTGCATTTCATAAAAATCTCTAAACAACAGAACAACTTTTTTAGGCAATCTACAAATAACTGTTTTTAAGCTTAAGCAAACATGCCCACAGCCTCTCCAAAAAAACACTGTAAAGACTAATTAATTTTTAGCACTTGGCACATTCCATTCTCGCATTATTCTCAATGGCTACCAATACAAGCCGAAACCCACTGAAAAAGGTCTTCTTATAAGCAAAGCTGCTTGACGGAAAATATCTTTTCAGGAAACAGAATATCCTTGTTCTTACTAGCTAATTAAAAAAACACTTAACAACTAAAGCTGCATGTGAAATACAGTCTATTTTATTCCACTTACTGCCACGTTCACGGAAGACTTGAGAGAAACACACATCACCAGCTCTGCGCATGTGATCCTAAATATTGAACACTCAGAATCAGTAAACATAATACATTCATGCCAAAGGCATAAATCATATGTCAAACAGAACATTTGACAACTGATAATCGATATTGAGAAGAAAGAACCAATCAGACCTTCAAGTCTTGCCAAGAAGCAGAAGTAGGTAACCCAGTAACCATAACTTCAATAAGAAAACAAAAGATCATCAAAAACGTTCTTCTTATATCATATAAAACAGAAGCAAAATTAAAGTTAGCTTAAACTCATAAAAAACCAAAAATGTTATATCAGATAACAAGTACCGCGATAGTCAGATCGCCTGGAAATTCCATAGCTACCACCCCTAGAGCTATAACTACTGTAGCGGTCTGCTGATGATGAAGATCCCCGCCCACCATGTGCCAGCTCAACCTATAGTGACAGATACACCAAAGTTAGCAAGTGCCTTCGTGTAGCATATACAGTAGCAAAAATAAAGGAAAGTGCATATGTCACTAACTCGTAAACGAAAACCATCAAAATTGTATCCATCTCGATAATGAATTGCATCTTCAGCATCACGAGGATCTTCAAACTGCAACATAACACATTCAATATATGTAAGAATAAGGGTGGGAAAAACTTGCAAAATACTTTGTCATCTCCTTATATCTTGGATTCCAAACATACCTCAACAAAAGCATAACCAGGTGGCCGTGGAGGGATTTTTAAATCAATGTCAACAATGGGACCATACTACAATCAGATGATGAAGACAATAATTAGAGAATATATTCAACATTAATACTACCAAATATTTAGAAAGAATGGGGAAAGAACATTGGTACTTAGGAATATTACTAATTCAACATAACATGTCCATTTCACTATGCTAAGATTGAAAAAGATTCAGCAAGAATATGTATGAGCTTTAAAAAACTAAAATTTCATAACTTCAAAGAAAGAAGGAAAAAATATTCTAACAGTATAGTGAAAGGGAACATTTCAAAGCGAAAGATATGTAAATTAATGAACATAACAAAAAAAAAACAACACAGTATTTTCCAGGACATGAAAAGTACATGATATACCTTGTAAAAAAGATCCTCTACTTCTCTCAAGCGAATATCACCGGGAAGATTGCCAACATAGATGGTGCGACTTGAACGGCCACTCATTTTTTTTTTTCTGAACAGTCATCAAAAGTTAAATTTGTTTTATTTTGTGTATTTTTTATATCAAGAAAATTGAGGCACATAGGTTTCCACATCATAATACAACCCAGTATATATATATATATATATAAAATTCACCGTTAGCTATAAAAACACGAGTGGTGAAGAAAATTAGAAAGAAATTAATGACAAACTGAAATTTCAGATGGAAGGGAAAGAGAAAAGAAGGCATGATCAATAAAAGATTGTGACTCCGCAAAAGTGCGGAACAACCAAACATTATGGAAATCGAATTTAACAGCAGTTCAAATATTACGTGGAAAATTAGGAGGTTAGCAACTAAGTATTTCCATAACTGTTCCTGTTTGTAAGGGAATTATTAGCGTTCAAGACAGCTTAGACCATTCAATTCCTCCTACTCAACTGCGCAGACTCCTGCCACTTGGTGAGATGAACTTTACTTCGAATGCTCGTCCCAGAGAAACAAATCTTTCGGAAAAAGCGATAATGCGATTAAAGAAAGACAAGAAATCATATCAGAAATAACGGCACATGAACGTGAATCATTACGTACCCCATCATTTAGGGTTTGGACAGCAGAGGAAACGGCTGAAAAATGAGTCATGAAATCAAGCAAACTATTATATGTGACAGATGTAGAAGGTGACAAAAGGACTCGTACCTGAGCAGAAACTGGGTGAAGCGGAGGCGTCGCTGGGATCTGTGGTGTCCAGGCTTGAGTGCTTCCGCGTCTCTGCGAGCTGTCGGTTTGCAAGAGACGAGGAGGGGGTTCTAATTTCAGCCGAAGGCGACTGACATAGATAGTTCTAGTAATTTACGGCGATGCTTTGGCAATTACACGTGCACTGTCGTTCATTCTTGGATTGAACTGAGTCCCAGAGCCGATCAAATCCAGGCCGTTCAATTTTTAATATTAGTATTTTTAATATTAATTGGGTAAAAAAACTTTAAATTAAATAGCAAAAATAACGGCACCAAAGTATGTTAATAAGACACCAGTATTTTTTTGCTGAAAAAACCATGTATTCAAAAGTCCAGCTACAAAAGGAATATTTATATAAACAAAGTTCTGTAATGGAATAAAAGTTGATATGAAAACTGTTCCTGTTAGAAAAGAAGAATCTTTTCAAGACATTTTATCAAAATTGAAATTTTTCCATCGCGGTAGAAGAGTAATGCCTCCACACATACACAATTGAACCATTCCAGGAAATTTTAATCTGTAGAGATTTTTTAGACCCTGGTTTCCTGAAATGAGTGAACACTATGAGCAAATCCTTTGGTACGTTGCCAGGAAATAACGTTTTTCCATTGTTGGAGCTTCAAACTGTAACTAAGCTTGTTGCAATCGTAGTTTGTATGATGCAAGTCTACTGTCTTTGAAGAGCACATTTGCAGGCTGGCTGGTCACATGTTGAGGTAAAACCTAATAAAATACCCATACCGTGCATGAGTCGTGTATGATATTTTTTTAATGAGTGACATATCTATTATTCATAATGAATTTTTATAACAAAATATTTTATTGACATATTCTCCATGTTGTTCTATATGTAGTGGAGATGTTTAGCTATCATTAATAATATGTTTGCTTATTTAAGATTAAAAAGTAAATAATTTTTAAACGTTTTAAAGATTTTATAAATATATATATATATATATATTAGAAATCTTATAAAAAATAGGCATTATTTTATGTTTAATTATAATAATAAATAAATAATTATTATTTTTTTGTTTTTAAATGTTATGATGTCCCCTTGATTTCTATTTTATAAGAATAATTTATTATTTAATTATTTTAAATTTTTATAATATCTTTGTATATCACTCATTTTTAAAGCATTATCTCTCACATATTACATTAAGTTACTTTCGAAAATTATACTGCAAAGCAGCTTCTTAGCTTCTTAAAAAAAAAATCTGCTTTTTTATTCTGATTATTTTTAAAAATTTAAATAAATATAGTAAAAACTAAAAAAAAATCATAAAACAAGTTGAAACAATCTGGCAAATTATGTCAAGTGTGAAAGAGTAAAGTATAACAAAATCGTAAAAATATATGTTGTAAATAAATACAATGTGAATGTTATAAAAAAATAAAAATAAATACAATGCAAATTAAATTAAAAAAATTCATAATTTTTTATATTAAATTATCAACGACTTCACTATGAACAACACTTGAAATTCTAATGGTAGAGAGAGACTCCATATCATTATCAAGACTCAATATTTTTAAGTATTCCGTGCTTTAAACACAAGAAACAGCAACATATAATTAGTTGACAATGAAAACATGATAAAGTTGGTACAATGTGACATGACATAAGCTCTAATCCTAATTTTATTAATGATCATGGAAAATGCAACATGATGAAAAAGTATCGCCTCATAATAAATAGCAACTTGAAATTAGATGAATACACAACATGCGATATATATATTTCTATCTCTTCATTTGATCTAAGCATTTCTTAGGCTATAAAGATATGTTCTCTAATTTGTGTAATTATGAAATATATGATATTACACCACTCCATAAACTTATAAGTTCTTGTATTAAAATAATTGAGACACCCGTTTCAAGCCTTATTTCATAATTTGGGAGGTTTGGTATTGAAATCGAATTTAAAAAATATATAAATTAAAGGTTTTGAAGTGAATTTAAAAAAAGATGGAGAAGAAGGAGAGAGGTAGGAAGGGGGGAGGAGAATTTATGGGACAAATGACCAGCATTTGAATATAATTCGTAGTGGAGATTAAATTATCTCATATTTAATTGTGTAAGGTTAAAATGTATCAATTATGAGTTTAGGATCTAAATCACTCTTTAGCTTATACTTTATGGTTTACACCACCACTTAACTCATATATATATTTTCATGAAAATAATCAATTTATTAGTATACAAATTATTGTTGAAAGTTGTTTATAACAAATTTGGTGTTGTATACGGCATGTGTTAATAATAATAATAATAATAATTGTTAGGACTTGCAAAATTGCAATCCATGATTGTTTAATATTTTTTTTAATAAAAAGCCCATCAAAATAAAATGACACTATAAATATGATCATCTCTATAACAGACTCCTGTCGTTTTAATAGCATTAATCAAATTAAGAGAAATTTTTACCCAATATACATGTCATTTATGTTCAATAAAAAACATGCCATGAATAAAATAAAATAAAATATATTATTATTTTTTAAATGCCTATTTAATATATTATTATTTTATTATTATCAATAAAAAATCAATTTACCAATGATTATCAATAGCAAGTCTATATTGATTAAATTGATGATAACCAATATTCAAAATTATTATGAAAAATTGTTTTAGCTTGCTTAGTTTACAGTTTTTCCTTGCTGTAATGGTTCCAGGACTTCTTTTCTGTGCATCCATCGCTATGTTGGAATGAAGGTTTTCAGAATTTAGTCAAAAATATGAAAATATAGTGTTCTAATTTTATGCCAATGAACATAGAAAAAGCTAGTTTCACATAGCATGGATGCATGAGGCGATGTATCAAATCTCTCTTCCAGTTTATTTTGCGTGGCCACCCGACCTCTTTTTTAATATTTTTTATAATACTTTTTAAAATTATTATGTAATAAATAAAAATAAAAGTTATAAAGCTTTATAACAAGGTGAGTATGGAATCACAATAAAAAAAAACGATGAATACAAAATTAATATTCTTTTCAAATCACAATTGAGGACATTTTTTAAAAATTTTATTTAATTTAAAATATAAAATATTGAGTAATTTTTATAATTACGCAGATAAGTATAGTTTAAAATTTATAAACAATTTTATTTAGTTATCTTCTTTGCATTTTTTTATATTAAAAATTTTAATTTTCTACTCTTTTTTAAAATTAAATTCGTTAACATCTATGGCAAAAAAATTATTAAAATATTTTTTTAACTATTCTTTTTTATTAAGCCTGAAAATTAATATTTCGTGTCCGAGTATATAGTTTTTATTGAAAGGGGATCACGGAAGTCCCAGGAGCGGTTTTCGGAAACAATGGGCCACGACTCGACAATCGCGCGCCAGCTATATTCGTGCGTTCGCCGACACATGATTCATTAGCTGACGCATGTTGGAGGTTTAAAATTTCGACTTCGCTTCCCATTCTCTCACCTCTCAAATTCTCCGAGTCCCGATCCCTCCTTCCTCCAGATTTCCATCTGTACGCAGCTGACAATGGCGGATTCCAAGACCAAATTTGAATCTCTGAGGGAATGGGTCGTCGAGCACAAGCTTCGTACTGTGGGTAAAAATATTTAAATCCTCGCGTTTTATGGTTAATTTCATTTTTCCCTCTCTCGTAGCAATCAAGTAACCAAGAAATTTTTAGATATTTTACTCTGATCATCTAGTATTTCCGTTCTAATTCTCAAGGCTTCTGATACGGTATTTTGTTGTGCTTTTCTTTCCTATTACGTTTCTCACCCTCGTTTGAATATTCTCAAGGGTCCCTTTGGCTGAGCGGTATTGCGGGTTCAATTGCATACAACTGGTCTCGACCCAACATGAAAACCAGCGTTAAGATCATTCATGCTAGGTAAGTTGCGGTTGCTTGTTGTACTCTCCTTTTTCTTCATCAATGGACGAAGATGGGTTTGATTTGGTGATAAATCCTTTCTATCGGAAAAAAAATTGCTGACAAATCTCATTGTCTATTTTGAACGACGAATTAAGAAGTCCAATTTTGAATGAGATATGGTGACAAATCTCATTGAGTGCATACCTCAAGCAGTATCGCTTCCAATAGGAGGAATTAAAAAAAAAGGAGTCCAATTTCTGCTTTCCATTTCTAGATAGCAATAATGATTTGAATTAGGGAACTGATCATTTTATCGGCATCGAATTATCAGGCTTTCTAATTAATACATAATATTATTTTCGTCATATGACTGGGTTAATAGGTAACTAGTAATCTGTTCCACGAGTCCACGACCTCTGGGTGTCATTTAGTAAGGCCTCTTAGCTCTAAATATAGTAGAATATTTGTTGTTGTTGTTGTTGTGCTGATAATTTTCACCTTGATGCAACGAAGGCCGTATGTCTAATCCCATGCCTTCGAGAATCTCTCTCTCACACCTTTTTTTTTTTTCAAAATTTTTGAGTAAAGGTTTAAATTATAACAGAAGCTTTTACAACCAGTCTTGGTAAACTTGAGCCACGTCGGAAGTGACAACAGTTCTGTTTCAAATTAGTTTTGTACCCACGTTGTACCCTTTTCGATGCCTTGCCCAGCATTTCAGCTAAAGATCAAGCGGATCCAAGTTGTACTCTTTTCTCTATCATTCAAGTGTAGAAGAGATTTACGAGACACTAAGTATCCCTTAGATTTGGGCTTCCAACCTATACCCCCTTACTTTCTCAAAAAAAGTTATGCGAATTCCACTGTAAAAGCCTGCAAAAACATTTAAAATTACTTCCTTATACTCCTTGACATTGACATTTACAAGTTTATAACTATCCTCTGAATTCAAAACGCAGATCTCATGTGGAAGAATGCTGCTAACACTTAGGTTAGTATAAATAGTCTTTTGAGAATTTGGATTCTAAAAACAGTGTTTAATTGTCTGGTGATCATTATTTCATTTTGGTTTTTCTTGTAGCTCAACAGTAATTGAACAAAGTCCTTCTTAGCTAACAGCCACAGTCTCTATTTTCTCATCCTCCCCTGACCTACCCGTTGAGAAATACTTTTCTACCTGGAGTGGCTACCCAATTAGGTCTCCTCTGCCCAACTTAACTAGCTCCAGTTTTGGGTAGGAGCTCCTTTCTTTGCTTAACTACCTTCTTGGCATCCTTTGCTGTTGCTGCACATTTCTCTTCTCTTGAAACCTCTACTAGGTTTGACGTGCTGATACCTATTGCATAATTGCCTCTGTGCTTGGTTCTGTTGCTATTCTGGAGTCCATGTTGCTCTTCATTCATTTCCACTATGTATTTCCTAATCACTGCCACCTCCGTTCAAGGACTCCAATCTTCTCTCTACCGCCTCAACCCCCTCCATTCAAGGAACAATCTTTTCTCTACTGTCTCAACCCTTCCTTTCTTCCTCATATTTATCATACCTTCTGCTATCTCTGATTCCAAATATGTTGGAGATCAATAGTAATGTGGTGTTATTTATTAAACAAAAGCTGGATTGAGCTCCTCTGTTCAATCAGATATAGAAGAAATAGCCTGGGGGAATCACTGAGCTACCAATGCAGGAAATAGCAAAGCAAAATCTCACACCAAACCAGTCTCTGGTACTTGGAAGGGCAGAACTCTCCACTCACTAACTACCAAGTTGCCCCTAACCCAGCCCAACGCCCTTGTTAGTCCTGGAATAAGTTAACCAGCTGCTGGAAACGCACTTTGTCAGACCCGTCATTTTTTTTTTTAATGAAAATGTGATCACTCTATTTCATGAAAGAAACACTGTAAAAAAAACAAGACAGAAATGAACACCTCTCATCATCATCTACCTCTCAAGTTAGAGGGAGTTGATGATCAAAGGTCCAAAAGTCCCTATTACTATGAAGGCCTATGCTAATGAGATTGTTCAGATGTTGATCAGAATCGTGATATTCTAATGAAAGATAGATACTCCCTGCTCTAGAAAGCAATAATCTGGTTTCACGAACACTGTCAGGAAAAGGATGTTCTTCCACCTTGTCACGGGCAAGGAGATTGTAGCATCGTACATATTTAGTAATAACTCCCACTATATTCCTTCCCTGGTTGCCGCAAATATGTAGTCCAATCGTATGGCATTTATCTGCAATGACCGTTGGCAGTCTTTCATTTGAAGCAATGAAGCCACGGACCTTGTATAATTTTTAGAGCTAATAATTTGGGCTAAGCTTGATTGGCCAGCTCGAATAAGTGCGAAAATCTTAGGGCGAGGCTTAGGAATTTAGGAAAACCCCTTTACTTTAGACTTATTTGAGTTACCTAAATAAGCCCGAAAAAATTTAAGCTTTGGGTTTTTTTTTTTTTTTTATAAAGAATTGAGCTCGCAGTGTTCTTCTTTCTGCTCTGCTTGCCCTCCCTTCCCTTTTTCAGATTGTTCTTCTTCAAGCTTTGTTCAGATCATTGTTCTCCTTCAAATGTAGAAACACACGCATGCTCTTCTTTCTAGTTTCTTCTTCGCAGGACAAACACATCCTCTTCTAGTCTTCTTTCTTCTTCAGTCTTCACTGGTCTCTCACATCCCAACAGCTTCACTCTTCTATACCGTCAGTTTAGTTATTTCACAAAGGGTGACCTTCAGTTTGCTTGCGGTGGCACCTCCGACTCAGATTGTGTTCTTCAACCTCGCTTCAAATTTCAAGGCCAGTCATGACTCACGATCTGTGCCTCCTGTGCTTTTTTTGTTTACATCTTTTATCATCCGAGTAGCCATTAGTTCCAGTTGCATCATTTTCTTCATTTGCCTTTGTTGAATTTCTAGTCATGCAAACCCCCTTTTCCTTAGCGTTCGTTCTTCTTCATCTCTGGAACATTTGTTTTCTATTTTAATTTTGATTTTTTGGTTTTATCTGAAGCTAAAGAAAAAAGCTGCTGAAAATTTTTTGTTCATATGTTTAATTTTCTGGAATCTGCTACTGCAATATTTTAATATTCCGAAATATTTTATTTTGATCCTTCTTCTTTGTTCGAAAAGGGGGAAAAATAATTTTTTTAAAAAAGTTTCTAGAATTTGGGTTGGCCTGAATAAATTCGAAGCCTGAGAGTGTCAGGGATTCACTTAACTATATAGATCTTTTATAAGTTTGAGTGTTTTAAGCTCGGCCCAAATAAGTTTAGCTGGGCCGAATTAGCAGTTCTAATAATTTTGTCCCTAATGAGAATGCGGTTCTCTTTCCTCTATGCAGATTTTTTTCCCCAGACCCCGCATAATTTCCGGTTCATGTTTTAAAAGTTTTTTTGCACGATCTATTCTTAGGTCATTATGTCCAATTCATGTTTGCTAATTTTCTTACGTGCATTATCTATTTTCAGGTTGCATGCTCAGGCTCTTACACTTGCAGCGCTGGCTGGAGCTGCAGTGGTAGAGTACTACGATCATCAAACGGGAGCAAAGGCTGAGAGATATGCAAAATTCCTCCCAGTGGAGAACTTCAGCTCACAGAAGGATTGATTAATCTTTACATCTGACATCAGTATAGCACATAGGTTTTCGAATGAATTACACATGTTTTCGAATGAATTCTAAGTAATAAATCTGATTGTAACAGGAGCAACCCATCACAATTTTCCCCGTTATTTTTGTGCCGATACTTTATTCAAATGAATCTTTACATGTGTATTTGATATTTGATAGCAGGCATTTAATTTGATGCATTTTTTTTTTAGAAGAAGGAAACAATTTCTTCAGAATGATAAATGTAATGAATTGATGTGCTGGCGTTCAGCGCAACAGGTAGAAGTGTTTCCGTCGTTTGAACGGATTACATTTAAGTGCAATTTCCACTGCATTTGTTGGTAGTATGCAAAAACTATATATTGATTACTGTATCGAGCCTTGTGGAGTTGGGAGACTTGTTTGTTTTATCGTAACTTTTTTTTTTTAATCTGTTTTAATATGGTTTTTGGTTTAACTGTGGGAGAAGCGAAGAATTTTAATAACTGAGGGATTCTGTAGAGGCGATAAAGGGGAGGGATATGAGGGGTTTTAATATTTGGGTTACCTGTTAAAACAAAGAAAGCCTCTTGCAAAATTTAATATAATGAAAATGCAACTTTAGGAGATGAAATTACAAATTTTTAGGGGTACTATTCAAATAATAATTTGATTACAAATTTTTAGAGGTACTATATAAATAACAATTTGATACTTTTTAAATTTAATCATTAAAATTTGTTTTGTATTAAAATTAAGAAATTAAGTTACAAATTTAACTAAATGAAATAGTAAATTTTGGAAATAAAGTTGTAAAATACTAAAATATTATAAAAGACAAATTTGTAATTTTATAATCTTGAATTTGTAAATAATGTTCTCAATTCTAATAAAAAATATAAATCTTAATGATTAAATTTTAAAAATAACATAATATTATTTGAACACTTCTTGAAATTTGCAACTTCATTTGTCAAATTTATAATTTTTATTATTGAATTTATAACTATTGGGAACATATTATGTTATATAAAAATATTAGTTACGAATTTGTGAGACTTACTTTATACTTTAAAATTTGTTAAAACTTCATTGAAATAAAATAATCCCATAGAGATTTAAGCGTCATCCCAAAAGAGAAGTTTTGGAAGTTGATATTAGTTTATCTGTTCCGTTTCATTTTCTATAGCATGTTCTTTGTCTTTCATGATTGTGTGTCAAGTTCTATTTTTGGGTTTAGTTGGAATTGTAATTTTTGCCATTACCAAAGAGGTATTATTAATTGAGATAACAGGAATAGTAATAACCCGTTCGGTTTTGTTCTCTCTCTTTTTTTTTTTTAAAAAAAATAATTTGTAAATAATTTTTTTAAAAATACTTTTTTAACCACATTTTCAAACTTGTTTTTCAAAACAAAACCAAATGAAAATCTGTTTCATTATATTAATTTAAAAATAATTTTAAAGTTAAGAAAATGGTTAATAGTAGTGATTGCTAATGGTTAATGATGATGACTTATAATAGTAGTTTACTATAATTGAAAATAATTTACAATAGTCAAATATAATATGTTTTAAAAATAAAGAAATGAAAATAACTCTAAATTCTTTCCTGAGAATAATTTTGAAAACATTTAAATCTAAAACACCTATTCAAATAACTTTTTTATTTTAAAAAATAGAAAACAAATTTTAAAATAAAAAACGAAACACTCGCTAAATTCATGGATTTCACTCATAATTGAGAAGAGTGGTCGAATGTCAGGAAATAAGGTTCCCATACAAAATTGAGAATAACAATATTTTGGCGATGAGATTGAGTTCCTGAAATGCGGATTTGTTTCATACCTCGTTTCAACAACTTGCGTTAAGAGAATACTTTCTGGCAAGAGTTTTATGATCATACGTGGTACTAGGTTTGGAGTGAGTCTGGTTAAGAGGCAACTGGAAAACACATTACCAACCATAATAATCATGGCTCGCCTTTACTGCATGCCCCACATCAAATAACATCAGACTCATACACCAACCGTGCACCTTCATTATGTTCATACCCCTAACATGGGACTGGAATTGTTGATAACTCATCATGAGCACCCCTTTTAGAAATACAGCTAGTACTTGAACAAACAATGAGATTATGAGAATGCCAAAGTGTGGATTAACATATTGTTCCAACCTTTTTATTTGAAAAGGTATGATTACATGAATGTATAAGCAAGCTTCAATTTCTTATGCCATGTCATATTTAAAATATGTAGCAAATTATACTTGACTGAATGTATACTCTATATTAGGTTGTCAACAACTTTATTTCTAATTTTATTACACAGACATAAATATGCCTGAATATGTTCTTTTCCTTCCACTTTCTTTACATAAACTCAAAATCACGTAATCATGCATTTATAAAAATTTAATAGCTTTGGCGCACCTTATTTGAATTCTTCAACCATAAATCACACTATAATCTAATAAACCAGAATCAAATAAGGCAAAAACTAGATATTTGAACTTGTCTCATTTTCATTTGTAATCAACCAGACGAATTTAGATACACCTTGCCAAAACTTTGATCAAACCATCCAAGTAGTACTTTGACCAAATGAATTTTATCAATAGGACTTAGCTCTTAAGATTATTGGCAATAGTGAGTAAAGTCATAGTTTAAGTCATGTTCAAGGACATTGTTCTTAAGAGCTATTCCGTCACACCAAGTTAATTAGTGGCAACTCTCCAAAATTAAACAGACTCTTTCTACAAAAAGCAGGGACACAAAACAATAAAAATTTACATAATAAACTCAAATAATAGCATAGATGAAATAGTGTGATAAGAGAGAAGAGAAAGTTTGAAAACTCAAAGGCTAGAATATAACAATAACACGGCCAAAAAACACAATCAGCATAGCTTTTGTACCCCACAATCATCCAATCCAATTAACAAGTCTAAAACTAATCTTTCTATTTTATCAAGTGAATGGAGATTATATCTTCCACATGTATAATAGCTACACTTGTGATCACTTTTCAACTCCAGCATGCATCCACAAGTGTCCATGTGTGTGTGTGTTAATTTTTCCTTTGTATATTATTCAAATAAAAGAGAATAATACAAGAGTTATAAAACTTAACTATACGCTAAGCACAATTCCTGCTTTCAGGTTATCATTTACATACAGACAAGTAAACACCCAAGAATTTTCTTAATGAAAAATTCACAGTAAAAGTTTACATGCTGAAGAACACAGAAAAGAAATCTAATTATTGAAAACCAATATGCCAAGGGTAGAAGCCTTCCAAATCCACGAGGGGATTACCAAACTCCATACTTTGAGATTTTTAAGGATTTGCAACCCAAATGGGGAGGCTAGCTACCTGCAATATGTGTGTCCAAGTTTGCATTAGCTGTAATCTTTATATATTAGTTGTTGTGTTTGAGATATGTGCTGATTGGATTGCAGAAATTCATGTTAAATGCATGTCACAATATCATGGTCGATTCTTTTAATAATTTTGCATGGATAAATTTCATGTAAATGAATACCAGTTTTTACAATTCTCAGGTAACGGGTCTGGATTCAAGGATTTCATGGACCAGGGGATAGGAATAGATTTTGATACTCCATGGTGTTTGAACTTTAACTTTCAAATGCCACAAACAACTGCTAAGAGCCTGCACTTAGCCAACCCCAACCCACAGTACTAGCGTGTCAATTGAATTTTTCAATCTATATAATTTCTTAGGAGGAAAGAAACTCTAAATAAATAAAATTGTTTATAACTACTAACAGGAATTTGGCCTCGTCAAGGGGGCTAATTCCTTATAATATGAAGAATCAATATTCGAATCTTCATTAAAAGAAGTGTCCATATTTAATACTTGAATGTGTTTTGAATAAGATTATTTTTAATAAGAAAATACTTATGAATAATAAAAAAAATTTATTCATAATGGGTAGGGGAGGAGAATGAAAGTTTATGGATCAAGCTATTAAAGTAGTCAATATTGTTGACACTTTCAGGCTTCAGGTAAGGAAGATTTTATTTGCTTTGATTTTCCAACCATGATCTGCCGTTTTTCTGGTTTATTTACAATGTAAATTGAATATTCTTTTTCATTTTCAGGATGGAAGCAACCCGCTTTTGATGATAAGTAGTTTGTTACTTATATGGATAGATATATGAAGTTGGTGACAACCAAACTAGAGGAAGAGAAACAATTGGAATCTAGACTTGTTGGAGCAACTAAAGCTTAGCGGTCTCAAATTCTCTGTTTTCTCATTGTCTTCCATGTTCCTTGATTCTATGCTTCTTGTTCTGGTTACTAACAACTTATCTATTTTTGCTATCGCAGAAATGGTAATGGTTGAGTTCTGATGTGGCACTCTCATGGGTGACGCCTTGACGGTGAGCCCGTTCATGGCAGCATGGCGACTGCATGCTACATATTATATTACATATTGAAGATTACGAATAAGATCCTATTATCTTATGGGCAAGTTAATTACATATTATATGCATAAAAATTTTAATTGACAACTTGTATTTCACAAATATTTTTTTATGCCTTCAAATTACATCCTTAAACTTTTGGTTAAAAAAAATTATATCCTTAAATAAGAGAGTTTCACATGATAACATAACCTCAACAGTCACCTAGTATCATATGCAGTTGAGGCTATGATTAATATGTAGAATAGCAAACCATAAAAGAAAAAAGAAAAGATGTGAACCGCTCCGCACCAACACGGTTCGGAGATAAAGAAAATTACTGCTTAAGTGCTCAGACTATCAATCATTAATTATTTTTACTCCCTGAAACCCCATCGCTAAATCTAATTCACAACCACATGTTTTTCTGAAAGAAAGAGAGAAAAATGTCGGACCGCCAAAAGGGATAGTAATAGCGAGCTATAGGGTACAAGTATAATTCCGAATTAGAGTAAATTTAGCACTTGCGAACAAATATCAAACACCAGAGGTGGCTTCTCCTTGTCTTGAGAAATGCTTTGGGCGAACTGGAACTTTACTTCCAGAATCCAGCTCAAGCATAATAATTCAGGCTTGCTTTCTTCTTTGCTTGAACTTGAATGATACCTTCATTAAAATCCTCATGATTTACCTGAAATCGTACAAAATATGGATCAATGATTTGGCCGCAACAACGAACCGATTCTGATTTGATCCTGACCATTCAAGTTAAGCTCCTCCAACGAAGAGTGAACACAGTTGGCAAAGATTACTTAGCAATGGCAGGATAGGAGACAAGTTAAACAGCGGTTTCAAACAGAACTGTCACCGCAGGAATGGCCTCGTGTATTTAATTAATCGTAATATTCAATAAGTTGCATATCTCAAAGAGAACAAACCTCAGTTGCATCACGTCGAAGGGCTAACATGCCTGCCTCAACACAGACAGCTTTTAATTGTGCTCCATTGAAATCATCTGTGGACCGAGCTAGTTCTTCAAAGTTGACATCTGGGTGAACATTCATCTTTCGGGAGTGAATCTAAAAGATCCATGTGAAATGAGATACCAGTCATCGATTGTTCAGAAACTTAAGTTAGAATAACGACAGCAGATAGAGTCAGAAGCAAGCAAACCTGCAGAATTCGAGCCCTGGCTTCTTCAGTTGGATGTGGAAACTCAATTTTACGATCCAGCCTACCAGAACGCATTAGGGCAGGGTCAAGAATATCTGCACGGTTTGTCGCAGCTATCACCTGCAAATTACAACAATAATGAAAACACTACTTCAGTTTCCTGAATCCTCACCAGAAATAAAAATGGACTGGTTGGTTATTAAAATTAGGCTAAGGGACTAGTCCAAGGACATAGGTTTTCAGAAGTCTAGTGAGCTTAACCCAACAACAGCAAATGTTTTCGTAGTTCTCCCTGATTACATAGATTATGTAAGTAAGCAAATAACAGGTGCGTGGAGAAAAAGAAACGACAACAAACCTTGATCCTTTCATCACTGCTAAAACCATCAAGCTGATTGAGCAATTCTAACATCGTTCGCTGTACCTCCCTATCTCCACTTACTTCACTACAGTCAGGCAACAAGAAGTCATGTCATAACAATGCTGAATAGCCTGGACCTAGATTCCCTTCAGCATTGAAGGGATCCCATCATGAATATGACACTAATAGAACTCAATGGAAAATTCAAACATTTGTAGATGTAAAATCATGCCTGCTCATACGTATTAACCATACCTGTCAAACCGCTTCGTGCCAATTGCATCTATTTCATCTATAAATATAATGCAAGGAGACTTCTCTTTTGCCAGCTGAAAAGCATCACGGACAAGCTTTGCTCCATCTCCTATGAACATCTGTACAGAAATTCCAGGTAAAACCACTCCAAGCCCAGTAAAAATGACATGAATTCAGAGCTTATATAAAAAGACAAGATAGACAACCAAGATGGGCAAGAGCTACAAAATTATTCGTTACTAATTGCTGAAGCATGATTTTACAAGGAATGTGGAAGGTTAAGAACATAATCTTCATACAATCAACACCTGTCCAACAGCAACATGCATATATGATACATCACCAGTAACTCAGTAGGCAGGGAAAAAAAAGGAGAATAATGTATAATATGGTACCCAGTGAATTATTAAAGATTGACAAAAGTCAAGAAATCAACTCTACTTAAATTTACAAGAAAGAAAATGAAAACCAAAAACCGGACAAACAAACCACAATAAAATCATTAGCCATGCTGACACTTAAAACTGAAAATATAGGACAAAGCTTGGTTACAAATTATACACCTGGACCAGTTGGGGGCCTGCCAATTTCAGAAAAGTGGCATTTGTTTGTGCTGCACAAGCACGAGCCATTAATGTTTTTCCTGTCCCTGGAGGTCCATATAAGAGCACACCCTTTGGTGGACGAATTCCTAACTTCTGAAACCTTTCCTTGTGTGTCATTGGCAAAACAATGGCTTCAACTAATTCTTGAATCTGTTAACAAAGACCATGTTAGGGATTCATGTTGCCAAAAATAGTGTGCTACAATAGATTCAGCCAATAATTACACCTCACCTGCTTCTCTAATCCACCAATGTCATTATAGTCTTCAGTTGGCTTTTCATCAACTTCCATGGCTTTTACTCGAGAATCATACTCAGAAGGCAAGGTATCCAAGATTAAATAACTATCTTTGTTAACACCAACTAGATCTCCAGGTTTTAACTTATCAGGGTCAACAAGCCCAACAACAGGAAGAAAGATTGTCTGGAGCAGGAAAAAAAAAACACAATTTAAGATTTTATCATTGCCATGACAAAGACGAAGGGCTCTTCATCACTAACTAATTCCAAAAACATTGATGCTGACAATGTACGTAGGGTGCAATTTAACAAACCTTCAAATGTTAAAAACAAATAATACAAATAACAACCTTAATGACAAAACAATGTGATATAATCTATGTCACCTGTCGAGTAGATGTCTTTAGTACAACACATTTCCCCTTCCTTTGTGAGTCAAGATCAATATTGGCACCGTCTTCTTCAGCTTCATCCTCTGGGTTCATTTCCAATATCTGAAAAAAGGATCAGAATTTGAGGAGAATGCGGGACATGCCGACATAAGAATAAGCTAATAGATCACTACCAAGGGGAAGTGAGGGGAGTTTGCTCTAAATATTTATGTAAAAAGTACAGATTCATGTCTAAACGATATCTGATTGCCTTCTAACTTGCTACTCTCTACAATACCAAAACATCGTCATACAAAATGCAACCTTCACCTTTTCATGTTCCAGAGTATAAGGCACATTGGCATGTTATTTAATAGAGGGCCATACGGCCTCAATTTTTAAGCGTTTTAAGATAAATCAATATGACATAAAAAAAGAAGATATATGAGAAATATCAAGAGAGCACTTTAATTATGTAAACAGCATGATTAACAGGTATCAGACCTCAGAATTTCACCAAATAAACATATCTATGGCATCATATGCGTGAGTGCTTTAACATGCCATGACAATAAAAAGAACTATCAATCACAAATTTATTTCTTTATTTGACCAATTTGTTGTTTGAAAGACAGAAATCTTAATCTTCAATATAGCAGGCTATTATGGATTACAGAATCGCAAAAAAGTAACTGAACGACATACACCAAGGCTGCTAACGAAAATAAGACTGATGCACAACAACAAAGAGAGTAAGAGCAGTGAATTACCTCTACAATATTTCCTACAAGGTAGGGCAACTGCTTATTGAGCTTGATTTTCTCCTGATTCTCTTTTATCTTCTCCTTGTATGATTCCAACTCCAGATTAGTCCTCTGCAACTCCTCCTGCATTCCAAAACCTTACAAGTCAACATCAGAAACTCAACATCAATTACACCAAAACATTAGAAAGGACAACTAGTTCTCTATTTACCAGGATATAGAAAGTGAACATTTTGCATCAATAGCAAGAATAGGTGAGAAGCATATGAACAATAAAATTCTGATTATTTGGTAATCAATAAAATTCTGATGTCTGAGAATATGAAGAATTCACGGCGAGACTTCGGAAAAAAAATCTGAAATTTTCCAAGTTAATATTTGAAACTGGCGAGAACAATCAATAGGTAACCCTAACAGCCACGCTATACAGCAATCAGAAGCAGAATAAGCAACAATTGCAATACAAATGAAAAGAGATAACTAGAGAGAGGAGATCAGACCTTCAGGATTCGAATCTCGTTGTCGAGCAGACGGGAAGCTCTGACGATGTCGTCGGTGGTCATAGACGCCAACTGGTCATCTTCGAAGCTGCTATCCTCTACCATGGCTGTTGCCATCGAGAACCAGTGAGAGGAAAAATTGAGAGGCGATGAAGCAAATGGATTATCGAATGACCAAAAAAAATGATTAAATTTTAACAAATTTTTTTCCCTGCACCGCTGCACGCATCTTGGAGAACGGAACAGTGAGACATCGAAGGGAGGTACATTCGATTTTCTAGTTCTGAGCACTGGATGTACTTTTTTAATAATAAAAAATTGGAGGAAAACTTGTCTCCAACGAAATATGCAATGCGATTGCCATGGCTGAAAACAAATGGACTACTGGGCCAAGCCTTCTTTTACGACGTGGGCCACGATCTTGTTATTGGATGTGTTGAAAGAATTTCTGGGGTTAAATAGAAAAATGAGGTGAAAATGGAAATGTGAATTAACATGCAATTTAAACATATGTTTGATGTGTGACATGTAAATGCCTGAATGGACACCCTGTATTAATTTATTTTGATATAAAATGACCCGCATCCCCTACCCGTAGCCCATAAGTTAAACAACTGCCCATTATCATTGCCACCAGCATGATGAGGGGTTGTCTAGGAATGTGGGATGGTAGCAGTGTTCGAAGACTCATACCAATCCGGATGATAAGATGATGAAAAAATCATATCTAATCTCTTTTAAAAAAATTAATCACAAATAAGATCAATACGAAGTGAATTATTTTTTTTTTAAATGAGACTTATTGTTGATCCTTATTTGTGATTAATTTTTTTAAAAGAAGATTGGATGTAATTTTTTTTAACATCAATTGGACTGCTCCCTAAATATAAAAAATGACTTAGTTTGATTTGTTAACTCAGTTTGAATGTAACTATGTTTGATATGCTTGGAATTAATGGGGAATTTGAAACGGGTTTACTTGACTCAATTGGATCTTAGGCAGAGCAAAAAATTTATCTAAAAAATTCTACAATTTTTTATCTTATGCATTGCGGTGATATTGTATACTGTGAATTTTTTTTTTGTCAAATTCATGTTTAATTTCTTAGACACGCATGTAGGCACATGGAAATATTTTTTTATATAATCATCTCTACCGATATGATCGTAAGTCTAATTAATTAAATTATGAAAATTGTGACTCCATCTCTTCGATTTATCATCCGATTGAGTTATTAAAATATTATACGGCAGGAATGTAGGATTAAACATGGAAGGGACATGACTTCTATTGCAGTTCACTTTAAGTTTTAAAACCTCCCTGTCCCTACCATTGAAATGAGGTATGGCTATTTTGTTGGAAGTGAACTTTTACGGAGGGGTGACTCACCAAAACATGCCCAAAAACAAAATTCACTCCCACTTTTACTTTTACTTCCATCCTTCTACTCTCATGGTAGCAAATGTAGGAGGGTACAAGAACACATGCTTTTCCTCTCCCAACATTAAATCACAAGCCAATGGTGATTGATGAGAAACAAACCTGCAAGGTGCCGTTTCTAATGCGGAGGTAAGATTCTCAACTATTGTTTTTAACAAGTGAGATCAGATTGCTATTGGCCAGAATCTGATTCATCATCTACAGCCACTTGATGTTGATGGTAAAGGCGAGGGTAAATATACTACTGCTATGAATAGGGCATAAGAGCCAAAAAGATGATCAAGATGCTAAAAATATTCTATTCTATTCATCAATGCTTGTTTAAACAGTACATGAATGCTCCTTGTATACATAAGCTGGCGCAACATAAACTCTTACAATATAATGGCGTGTATATACTACTCGTACATAAAGAAGACCATTCCTAAAAATAAAAGAAATTATTTCCTATGATGGAAAACATTTTTGTTTAGAACTGATAATTTGAATCAAGTCTGACGGGCTAATTTAAGCCTGCCTGAAAAATTTAAGATCAAGCCCATAAATATTAATTTTTTAACGTTCGAGCTTATTCGGGCCACTTAAACAGACCCAAAAAATTCAGGCCAAGCCCAATAGGGTTTGGCCTTGGCCCGAAAACCCGAATAAATTTTTTTAAAAAAATATATATAAAATATGATAAATATTAATTAATTTTTAAGTTTTATATCATTTTATACCAAAAATATTATATATTTGAGTGTATTACTATAGTTATTTTTTTAAAGAATTTAAAATAGTTATATTTTTATATTTTTAAGGAAAAATTAGTTTTTTAATTCCTCAATTTTTAACTCACTTGTAACTCAATCCCTCAACTATAACTCAGTCCCTCAACTATAACTCGCTGTGACTCAATCCCTCAACTTTTGATTCATCTATAATTCAATCCTTATTTTTTATTTTTTTAAAAAATTTCTTATCAAATAAGAGGGATAAAAGAAATCCTCATATATTATTCTAAAATACCCTCCTTTTGCTCATTAATGTGAGATCTAAGCTAATATGAAAATAAAATTAACAAAAGCTAATGGACTAAATTATAAGTGATTCAAAAGTTGAGGGATTGAGTCATAACAAGTTATAATTGAGGGACTGAATCATAAGTGAATTAAAAGTTGAAAGACTAAAAGATTAATTTTTCCTATTTTTAATTAATAAAATATCTCAAAATAATATTTAAAATATATTTTAATATTAATTTTTATATTTTAAGACTCAATTTTTTAAAAAAATATTTCAGTCCTATGTATCATTTGTGTATAAAAAAATTAATTTTATATTTTTATAAATAAGATAATTAATTTTAAAGTAAAAATAAAATTAAAAATAATTTTAAAAATAAAATTCGAGCATTTATGAATTCTCAACTCTACTACTAGATAAACATAATAAATAGGACAATATTTTTAAATAATTATTTGGTTATTGTCCATGCTATAGTTGGTTAAAAATTAAAAATAAATTAGAGTAAAAATTTCTTGTATGTAATGGTTAAACAACATAAAAAGTTAAAGAAAAATAATTTCAAAAAAATTATACTTTACTCATAATTAAATAATTTTTCTTTATATAATATAATGAAGGGTATTTTTCTTATATTCATAAAAATAAAAAATATAATTTATTCAAAAGTTATTAAAAATTTTGAATTAATCATAATAATAATTTTAAATTAATAATCTAATTGTGATTGAATTAAGATTAATTAATTATAATTAAAATAATATAATTTAACTAAATATATAAAATATTTATATATGACTATAATAAGTGCAATATTTAAATAATTAAAATATTAATTTACAAGCAACAAAAATATTCATGAATAAATTATACATAATACAACAAAACAATAATAAAGTTACTTAAATACAACATTGATAAGTTATTTTTTATTTTATTCTTTTAAAGTTAAAATAATATTTGATGTTTAATAAAATTATTAAAAATTAAAATTGGTTAAAAAATAAAAAAAATATTTTTAAAAAGTTTTGGATATTTGGACCGCCTGAATAAATCGAAGGTGTTAGGGTTAAGTATATGAATTTTTTAAAAAAGATAGAATAATTTAAGTTTCATCTGAATAAATTCGACTTGAATTGAGTTCAACTTACCTGAATTACTTGCATTATTTTTGCTGGCATCTGAGAAGCAGCAGGAAGTCAAAGCTGAATCATCATCATGAATAAAGGTAGAATTATCAAAAAAATTATAGTTTCATAGAAGCTCAAGACTGCCTTTAACCATGAGCCTCGTGAATGAATCGGGCTTCGACAATTTTGATAGAATCAGTTTTCCTTGAAGAACCGAATCCATTACACCAAAATAAAAGACAGCACATAAATTTCACTTCCATTTTTACACCTACAATTCTATTGCACCAAATTGCCATAAATGATAAACCTAATACAGGTTCTACTACTTGGTAGATGTATCCCTGCAGAGATGAAGATCATGAAGGTGAAGCACGAAACAAGTTTCCATAAAGAAAAATGTGTTCTAAAATCCTCGATTGTTAACCCTTAAAAATCTTTGGCCAAAAAAAAAAACCCCTTAAAAATCATTAATAAGAAAATGAAAGAAAGAAAGCTCCAGCACCGTAGGCACATACATGTTGCCAGGGCTAAAATGTTGTGTTTTGCAAAACAGGTTGCCAGGCATATGAATCCGAATGCTGGTAAAGAAACTATGAATCAGAACTTGGCAAAACAGAAATATCTGACAGGAGTATTGATTTTGCCTTAAAAGGTACTCACCCCGCCAACCCAGCTTCCCCCTCTTTAAAGAAAAAGGAATTATTCTGGTCAGTAAACAACCAATCTCTTCGTTTATCATCAGAAAACTGCGCTTCAACACAAAGCACATCAACCAATGCTTGCACCATCCACTCGCCTTAGAGCACAAGGGCGGCGCGAGCTTACAAGATAATGCTTTATGGAGCACATGAATGTCTGATTTGGCTAAGCTACATCATTCCAGAGACAAGGGGGAAAGGAAGGGGTAACAAACAATCAAACATGATATAATTGCAAACTGATAGAAGATTAAAGGGAATGCAGACCAGAAGCAAAACACAGGTGGAGGATCACGTGATGCACCTCCCTCCCTAGATTTTTTACTGGTTGATACGAAAGTGATTTCCAATTATTAAGCAAAATGGCGGAGCAGCCAAAGTAAATATATGTCAATCGGAAAGCATACTAGAGTCCTAGCAGGTGCGTTCGTCAAATCGCGCTCCGCAAGAAAAAACCCTAGCCGTAAATTAAAAATAGGAGGGAGGAGGCAGAAGATTAGAATATGAAAAAACCTAACCATCTCAATCGTCCAGGGTTAGGACGTCTGGCTTTCACCCAGGAGACCCGGTTTCGATTCCCGGCAACGGAATTTTTTGGACAAAAGAAGAAAGGACGTACACGTTTTACCTCATGATATGCTGGACCGCTTTTGGGCAATCTGAAGTCCTGAACCCAGTCTATTTTTGGGCCGATTCACGCAACATTGCTTTGGTGGGGCAATCAAATTTCGTTATTTTCTGTACCAAAAACAGGATTGGCTGTTTTGAACCTATAATTTGTTTATCCATAATGATGATGCAAACATTCAATAAATATAACGTATATTTCATTTATAGATTATTTAATACTTGAATTTTTTTAGTTAGTAATAAATATATCAATAAGTTAATTTAATTTCTATACAGTTAGTTGGAATAGAGATGGATAGAAAGTCAAATAATTACTTCCCTGTCCTTTATATATATTTTATAATAAAAATAAAAACTGATTTAAATTATAAGATGTCTAGTTAAAAGATCAAATTATTTTTTATTTTTATCTATATAATTTTAATAGATTTCTTGTAAATTGAATAAAGTATAATGAGACTCCCTTTAACTAATAATAATATAATTAAAATATTAAGATATTTTGAACAAACAAAATAACATACTCTCTCCATCTCTCAAATTATAGAACACTTAAAAGTCTTTTCGTCTTAAAATATAAAATACTTTGAATAGATTAAAATTTTATTAAATATATTAATTTTAATATTACCCTTTCTTTTTCTATAATCAATTTCTATCTATTCTCTTTTCAATACATTAAATGATAAAAAATTTTAAAAAATTATATTTTATTTTAAAAAGATAAAATTGTTAAATATATTTAATAAAATTTATTAATATATAAAATTTCATTTAAAAATATCTTATAATTTAAAACGAAAGACGTTGTTACTTTTATTAATACATGTGAAAAAATATCTAAAAATACCTCATAATAATTTATATAATTGAAAGGGACCAAAGGGAGCGTGTCACACAGTAAAGGTATGTCTATGCGTTTCATTGATTTGTTAACCATCCCCTCTATCTCATAAAGGCAAGTTCGAGAGAGGAAAATAATTTGAAACGACCATTTCTTCTACCCTGAGGGGCACGAATGCGTGGTCTGGGGAGATTCCAACAGCGAAGATACGTTCCTGCAACCAAATTCTTCAATTCCTGGCCTCTGCTTTCTACTTTCTAGGACAACAAAGCCGCTTCATGCTGTCCGTGAATTAACAATAAAAAATGAATTTCTCAAGACCATAAATTTACTGCTATACAGAATTACAGAATTGTATTTAAAAGAATTACAGTACAAAGCCCCTATCCCAGGCAGAGTCTCAGAGACAGGAGGATGATTCATGCAGCAAATGAATGAAAACAGAAAAGCAGCCCCTGGAATAGTGAATACAAAAGGAACTCGTCAACACAACTAACCTCGAGAAAACAGCAGTCTTTCTGTTTTTTTTTTTTTTTGGGTGCATGTTCACTTTCCAATGCCAAGCTCTTTTGTGATGTCTCTTGTCAAGCTGAACTGCAGCGTATTGTGCCACGGAAATAGTGTACGAGTGACCGGAAGCTTCCTCCGAAGATCCTGCGAGTAATTGTCATTCCCGATCCTTAAATCTCAACAAGGGTAAAGCAACAGATTTGTACACAAGCAAAGCAGGAAATATGCCTTGCCATTTTTTAAATCACATCAATTTCTTCTATACAAGACTAAACATGCAATAAACTAGTCCAATGAATTATACAATTGAAAAAAATGAGACCACATTGTCAGGTTGAGCGATCAAAGGTATATAAGCCCCTGCACAGCAATTTCAAGTGTGAATGTGACATCATTGAACATGAGAGCCATCCATTTAAATGATGCAATTGACAAACGTAAAGGAAGCAGTGGCAAATTCACCCATGCGATCCAATAAGAACTGAGAAGGCAAGTTGAAGTACCCTGTATACATGAACTATTCATAAGTTCAGTTCAAATTTCACAAATGACTAGAGAGCATAACCAGGAAAAAAAATCATCAGAGCATTGAGCGGCTGGCACTAACAGAGATGCATGACAAGAATGAGATTACTTCAATAGGAGTTAAATTATCACAAAACAATTCCAGAAACACTACATCTAAAACTTGGACAGAAGATTAAAAGAAAAAAAAAGACGATAGTAAGGAATACCTTAAAAGTGGAATCAGGCAAGTTTAAATACGATGCCTGTAAAGGAACAACTGCAAACCATTAGTATATCATGTATAATTAATTAAAAAATAAGCCACAAGATGACAAATTCAGAACCTCAAGAGAAGCCAGGTACTCTGTTTCATGGTGACAAATAATGCTTGATATGGCAAGGGCACAATCTTCAGGGGCCTGAATTTAACAAATATCAAGCACCCAAGTGGCCAATCAAATGATAATATATGAAAAAACCAATGCAGGGATATGAGTCATCCATGAAAAATAAATCCCAGTTGAAGTATCTGATACGTCAACAATTAGCCCAGGAAAGTAATAAAAACATCTTCTCAGCGTAGCAACAGGGACAATTAGGTTAAATGCCAGTGGAAAACAAGTAATAGTTGTCAGGTTTACTTAACAACCATCATCATGTCATTCGTGACGCAACTCTCCAGTAAGTATCTCAAGCTCATTTTTTCTTTGTATATATTATGTTTAAAGAATATCCTGTCAGCAAAAGCAAATTATTAATATGACACTCGATAGGTTTTTCTCTTTAATAGGATATATTTGAGATGCCCTAGATGCTATCAAAGAAGCAAGGAAATTGACAGCAGATTGACAGAGATAATGAGCAACAGCAAGGATACAATATTCGCAAGAAACTATATGCATGGAAATGCATGCCTAATGATGGGAAATTAGGAATTTTTTTTTATGTTTTAGTAATTTATTTTTTTTGACTTTATTTTATTTCCTTTTAGGCTTTCTGAGCTTGTTGCCTATTTGATGCTTTATTTTACTTGAAATTTAAGTTAGGAAAGGTTTGCTTTTAAGTTAGGGTTCATTTATATTTTTAGGTTTAAGTTATAATTATTTTAATAATTGTATTTAAAGCTCTATAATTTAGCCCTCCAGTTATTCTCATAATCGACCTTTTGATGAACTATTACTGAGTCTAAGGGCTTGTTTGTTTTTTATTTTTTAAAAATCGTTTTTTGTTTTCGAGAACAAAACAATTTAAAAACTTATTTGGATAAGTGTTTTTCATTTAATTGTTTCCAAAACTTTTTTCATTTTTTGTTTTTAAAAACAAAAAAATAGAAACAACTTCAAATTGTTTTCATTTTATTTTTCTTATTTTTAAAACACATTAAATTTAATCATTGAAAGTTATAGTTACCTTAACCAATTTCTATTATTAATCATCACCATTAACTATCTATAACCATCACTATCAGTTCATTTTTTAATTTTAAAACTAATTTTTAATTGACATAACCAAATAGATTTTCATTTCATTTTGTTTTGAAAAACAGTTTTGAAAACTGGATTACAAAACAGTTTTTAAAAACAAAAAATGAGAATAGAAACCAAATAAGCCCTAAATATTTGCTGCCAGTTGTCTCCCCACATCTCTCTACCTGCCCCTCCCTCTTTGTTCCTTTACTCTACATCCACTAATTCATCCCTTTATATCTACACGTAAGAGAAAATAAAAGGTGAAAAATATACTGATTTGTAGTAACCTGAAAAAGGGTAGAATCTTTGCACTCATGTTTTGCATCTAACTGCACATTTCCTTCTTCAAAATAATGGGCACCAACCTGAAAACACGACAACATGATTCCGTCGTCTGTATCATCCATTCAAATTTATGTATCAAAAAGCTATCTTACATTACCTGCATTTTCCCCTGTACTTCAACTATCTGTAGATCATCGTTGAACAGAATATTCCATACTGAACGCCAACTACCATTGCTAAGGAAAGGCCAAAAAGAGTGAGGAAATAATAAAAATAAACTTCATCTGACAAATGGTAGTTGGAAAATGCAGAAAGAATTTCATCTGACTAATTTCACACACCAGAAATTCTGTGGACTATGCTTAGCTGTAGAAATCACTACAACAAGCTCAAAATCAGAACCTGGGCCCTCTACGTCTTTTCCATTTACACAGTAAACAGAGCAGACACCTTTTGGATAAGCTTCACCGACATATTTAAGTGTTTCTGCATCCAAGGCACATCTGCAATAAAGATATACTTTGTCATGCAAAGAGCTGCAGATAAAATTTCATTGGTCATTGTACTGAACTAGACAATATTTCACACTCTCATGCAGGTAAAAGACAAAAAAATTAATTGAAATAACACAAAATAACAAGGTTGCTCAAAAGTATGTAAACAAGTCAGAGTATACTGTCCCATGAGGCCATGATATTGCATAAAATCCTTTAAAGCTTGCTTTAGTTGAGGAAATTATGAAAGCAGACAAAATTTCAAGCATAAAATAAAAGAGAGAGCATACCGGAATTCTTCAATATATGGAGATGGAAGTTCTTCATCAGTTGCAGGTCTCACCTCTGTACAAACCTGAACCATTTAGCACATTATAATAACACAACAGGTGACAGTGTTACACAAATTAGAACATGCAGTTGAGAAAGAAAATGGACCAAAGTAGAACTGCAAATGTACTCCACTGTACTCTCTCTCCCTCTGTGTAGAATAGAATAGAATTGATTGAGCTATAAATAAAATAACCTATGGTTGCAGTAACAATTTTTCATAATTGGATCATCCCCCAACCTCAAATGCAACTTCAAGAAAATGAGCATTATTGGTGAAAGAGTCTTAAAATAAACAGAAAGTAGAGTACATTTGACAATAATACTTTATTTAAACTCATTGAACTGAAGATAATAGATGAAGCTGCAGGATAAAATTAAGTGGTGCTATAGTTTCCTTCACCTTTGTTATATTGCAAATTAAACCAAAATGAATGAAAGGAAAAGGTAGTGATCGTGAATAACGGCCAATTTTAGTTTGTTTTCACCATTCCTCAAGCTAAAAAAAAAAAAAAAGGAAAAAATCACTAAAACCATAGCATATTCCAATCTTTCATCAAACTATAATAAGTTTGCTAAACTGAACATTACCAATTCAATGCCTTTTGTTTCCTCTTACTTTTTGGGCAAAACTTACTTGTTTAACATGGTCAACTATGGCAACTTGAGTAGTCCTCGGATCAAGATAGGCATTCTCTTCAAGCTCACCAAACGTAGTAACCAGCACCTGCATGCATATGATAAATTAGGGTGCCAGAAGATATTTTAAATAAAAAAAATAATGCAGCCGAATATGCATAGTTAAGTAAAGTTGGGGTATTTGTACTATTCAACCCTTCTAGATATCACAAGGATTTTCAGAAAATAATCCTGAAGATGTACACAAAACGATTCGGCAACATAATCGGTTAATCTCATATGCAGAATTATGATTACCATTATTTATGTGAAGTAATGATATGATCTAGTTTTCATTAAAAAAAAATAATAATCGGTTAATGGAGGGGGAGAAAAGAAAGAAAAATTACAGCGCCCTACCAGTCTAACAATTAGCATATCCGAATTTGATATCATGATTTTTTTTTTCTTAAAACGAAATTTCCTTTGAATAAAAAACATGTAAATGTTGGGAACAAATAAAACCCTAAGAAAATAAGGAGACCCGTGTTTGGAGAGAATTTCGTCGATACATACGTCTCCACTCCGATCCGGCATTTCAAGGGAAATCATGTGAGATTTATTGTACAAGGAAAATGCCTCCAACGCCGCCTCACGATACACATCGTCATCGTTCAGAATCGATTTCACATCTGCAGGGGCAACTTTCAAATCCATATAAATTTAAAGCAGAAGAAAATATGTATAAATTCTAGGTATCCAACTACACGAGATAAACCAGGTGCATGTAAAGCGGATAAAGCAAATCACCTTTGGCCACGTATTGGATTTCTCCGGGAGGAGAGTTGAGGAGGAACCATTTGGCAATTTCGATCTTCTGCTTGTCGCTAAGCTCCGCTTCTTCTTCTTCTTCGGCCATACCTCTGGGACTCCGTCAACAAGATTCCGATATGCAAGTTCAGTGTGGAGAGAGCGAACGAAATGAGCAACCACGAAGGCCGCGCAGTGATTGGGATGCTCCTTTGAAAATCAGGACCATCCAATGGGTAGGGTCCTGAATCCGAACGGACAAGATATGCACAGTAGCTCAGGTGGAGCCCAGTGGATGATAGTAATATTCTGCTTCGCCGTTAGTGTGATCTGTAAAATGCTCTCTGCATCAGTGCCCTGTGCAACTTCATAATTTTGGTCGACAATCACGGTGACATCAGGTCAATTAAAGGCTTTGTTTGGTTTTGGTGGGTAAGAAAAAATAATTATATATGAAAAATTTATTTTTACATTAATAAAATTATTTTTTAATAAAATATAATTATGAATATTTTTAACATATAATTTTTAAATATATAAAATAATTATTATTATCAAATATATTATTAATAATTTGTCATTGCTAAATTTGTTTTAAAAAAATAAAAAATAACAATTATATAAAAGAATTTATTAATCATTATATAACAAAATCAAATCCTTTCCTTTTACTTCCCAATTTGTAGGGCCCCTCTCCTCCTTTTTTCAAATTAAACAAGTGGAGAGGAGTAATCTCTCCGCTCCCTCTCATCCAAATGTTATATCAAGCATGAAGCTCTTAATTTTTAATATTGGCCAAAAGAATTTTTTTTAATTTAAAATGAAAAATAAAAATACAATGATAATTTAAAATGAGTATAGTATATATTTCTGTCAGGCACACGTACTATATATTTACTAAATGTTTTTAAAGTCCATCGCCGATTAAAAAAATATCAGTCAAAATTTTCATAATTTAATTGCATATATTGTTATTGTTATTGTTACCTATTTGACAGCCAAAAAATTAAAACTATATTTTAATATTTAAATTTAAAGACATTACTATCATAACTATTTACTACAAACTTAAAAAATTAATATAAGGTAAAATTAGAGTAATTTATATTTTTAATTTTACTTCTTGTTTATTTATTATTGTTTAAATTAAGAATTTACTATGATTATTAATTATAAAGAATGATAGAATTGAAAAATTACATAATTTCTTAACATTTTTAATAATATAACTATCATAATACCATTTTTAATAAGCAAAAAACTAGTTAAATTTACCTGAGAACATTAATTATAATCACAAATGAAACTAATTTAGCATTAGAACATTAAAAAAAACTAATACTAAAATATTGATGTTATGAACAGGGGAAAAAGAATCGTTTATTATATTAGATTTCAACCCTTTATCTGGTTTTAGCCATTTTTAAACAGTCCTTTTTTTTTAATACCAAATTTTGAAAACATTCCTTGAAGCGTGGAGCCAATCTGAGCAACGAGCACCAACTAATCAACTTTTTAAATTAAACCAGTCTATTCTATATATAATTATTATTCTTATTATTATTTACAAACGATAGTTGTGAATAATTTATGCCATTCAATCTCCATGTGTTAATTATAACTAGACAAAGGACTACAAGTAGCTAAAATACTTTTTGAGCTTGTTGATAAGAAATAAATGAAAGCCTTATATTGAGCCAAAAATACAAGAAACAACTCCACAAGGAAAAATAGATAGTCGTTCCTAATATTTTAGCTCAAAATAAGGCCCTCATCTGTGTCTTATAAATAGGTGCTGCGGGAGGAGTAAGAATGCAAACATCCTAACGTCTGCTGCACAGCAATGCCCCAATTCTAGGCTAAACTGATCTGTTCTATCTAACTGATCGATCAAACAGGATGACTTTAATTCCAAACCACAACAGGTCACACGTGCCTTTCACTTCATTAGACTGCGTAACATGGCACAGATGGAACAACCCACCTTATCCCGTGAAATGAAAGAAAGCGAACACAAAAATAGCTATTTAGGTTAGAGATCATTCTTAATTACAGTGTGTTTGCCCTATAAATACTCCCTTTGTTTTTTTTTTTTTTTTTAGCAACCCACAATCAGGGCACAACCACTGAGAATATTTTTTAGCAGTAATTCCAATGTCGCAAGACGTTAGCTTCCAAAAATTGTTTCCATGCCCTTAATGGGGTTATATCTGTACAGCCAGCAGAACTCCTGGTTCCCCGGTTCATAAACAAGCCTCTCGCAGCAAAAGACATCAGCTCCATCCGATCCATATAACCACGCACCCTGTATGAGAAACCCGTTCTCAAATTCTGCTTATCGTGAGACTGCTGAGGTTTGTTAACATTGGCATTTGGGAGAGATGGTGTTTCTTGTCTCTGTTTGGAATCCTCATGTACTGACATCGAGATTCCCATTCCAAACAATTCCCAATCAACCTGCTGCAAAATCCCAGATGCTCGCTCCATGGTATCGGTAGAGCTAGCTTTTAACAGCATTTCTTGTTCAATAGCTAGATTGGTAACTTGGACTTTCAATTCATGTAACCGGTTGCCAATTCTTGTTGCTACTGCATCATATAGTGTTCTTCTTGGCACATTCTCACCTCTTTCTGCATTTACCAGATCGTCGAAATTGATTGGATCACCTACGAGTACTGTAACCTAGAAAACATCATGTCAAGACAATCAAATCAAGATATAACGAAAGATTTGTTCGATAAAAAACAATAATAAACCGCAGTCGATGACAAGAAGCTTTCCCCTTTTGTAAAGAATCAGGTTTCCATAATCACGGATAACTTGATCCTCAAGGAAGAATCAGACCAGAAGACAAAAGACAACCCATGTATCAGTCACAACAACACAACTTGTGAATTCTCTCATTTTGATGTGAAAAAATGGCAGTCATTTTGAGTATAACCAAACTGTTCAGTTAACTTGGGCTGCTCAAATCTGTTCAGAATTTTTTTTTATGGGAAAAAAACTAGACCATCTAGATTGACTAAAAAGTTAAAACGAGTCTCTTCCAAGGGAAAAAAAAATCCAAATCCAAATCCAAATCCCTACAACTAGCACCTCCCACCCAATCTAAACGAAGGAAAGTTCACAAAACCATTAAAACAGGATCTCTGTTGGTGGCTCATCACATGTAAGGGGCAAGGATGATACCGTCTTGCCAATTCTGGGAAAGTTAGAGCCTATTGGCATGATATCTTGCATCCCTGTATGTACAAATGGGACCACGATGGGCACACTATCTGAATCCAGAACCAACCTGAGAAGCAAACACACATATCAGGAAGCACATTTTGCTCTCAAAAAGCACTTAAAAATAGAAATGTCAAAACACTGTTTTGGTCCTAAAAGTATACTTAATTTTGTATGTATGTCAAAAAAGTTACTTTGTTGAAAGCATCGCAAATAAATTTCAGAATTTGATGCCATTAATACAAAACCAGCAACTCTTACATGGAATACTAGGCAGTGATCGGTACATGGAAAGGGATTTGAGAAAAGGGAATATGCGAAAGAAAGTATTTTTAGTTGTGTTTGATAAATGTCAAAGTAGCTTTTTTCAGAATGAGAACTTCCTATGTTTATAGAAGAGAGCTTTTCAATTCCCATTTATATCAAATGGGCACCAAAATGCATTTACAGTGCCATGTTCGCATAACATGGCATCCACGCAGAAGAAGTCAAATTGCTTTTTGGTACAAGTTTATAGATTATTTCAAAGGTTAGAGAGCAGTTGGGATTGGCTTAGCCACATCAGCGTGACATGTAATTATAGCCAACCAAAAGGACCTAAATGGAAAAATTTATACATACAGATTCATTTGAAACAGAAAATGTTTTTAGGAACAACCTGAAAATTTATAAAATGTTAGAACTGACATATGGTTTTAATCTGACGGGAATAAAGAAAGTAAAGTAAAAGAGACTATATTAAAGTTCACTGCTGTACATACATCATGGTAAAAAACTGTCTCTCAAGGCCACTGGGAAAAGTTTCAATACTTACTATAGCATAAAATGTCAGTCCATAAACGGTACTTTAATGATGATACATCTCTTAAAGCTGAATATGATTTTAATGAGAAAATCCACAAAGCACATGCTAGTTTTACATTACCCATTCCATCTCATAATAAAAGTAGAAAAGTGGCTATGATAATGTGAGAGAAGCAAACTTGTCAGCTAGTATTGTATCAAACTCCAAAATATCATAGAAGATAGTTACCTCCCAACACCTCTCTTGGAAGAACCCATGGTTTTACCACCATCACGTGAACGACTTCCTTCTGGAAATATGTGGACCCACCCACCATGGTTCAATTTTGAAATAGCCATGTCCATTCCCTTCAGTAGGATGAGAAACAAGAAAAAATTTCAATCATTTATCTCAAAGAGATTCCAGTTTGGAGAAGGCCTAAAGCAAGACATAGCTAGGAACTAGGAAGCAAAAGACATAGGGAAGAAAACACAGATAATAGAAGGTAGCTGCTCACAACAAATTTTGATACAAAACCACCAACGATAGGTTCTAGGTCAGAAGAGTAATTCACTCAAGAAAAGATACTAATTCAATATACAGATTTTTTATTGCTTTCACTCTGAAAATGTGACTTAAGGGTTAAGAGTGAATTCAAAGTCAAGTAATTAATAAATAGAAAACAACAAATCTATTTTAAGAATAGAACAAGTTGTTAAAATAAATAATTTAATCCGTGGCAGTAAAAGCCATAAAATGAAAGTAAAGAAAGAAAGAACCAAGAGCGGCACCAAAGGCTGCAAATTTTGCCAGACAATGGCAGGTACCATAGACACCAAAGTCTCCAATATACTGAAGCATACGGTATCATTAAATTCATACCTCCTGATAAATTCCATCACCGCGAGAAACTGGCAAGACTTTGACAGATCGAAAGAATGCAGAAGTTACAGGGTTTTTAAAACAACGGTCAGTTGCACACAAAGTCCATCTCAGGCTCTGAGCTTCCAAGAGAACATGTGGGGGAAGCAGTGAAGCAATAACAAGAGGATCATCCATGGAAGCCACATGATTGCTGACCTGACCAGGGATCATAAAAGAGAAAGCTTTGCCCAATAAGCTACTGTACCATGGAGTATGCAATACAACTGGAACCATAAAGCAAATATAGAGATGACTTTGTCAAAGATAACAAGACTAAACTAATCAAACTATACTGTTTAGAAGATATACTCCTAGGCCTTAGAACATACCGTAAGAAGAGGCTTGCCTTTGGGTCTGTGAAGCAACGGTTCGTGCAATTTTTCTAAACCATACACCTATTGTAACACAGCAGCCAGATCAAATACCAGACGACGAAAGTAGACAGCAGAAAGGAGCAAAAGAAGTTAGCAACATAACTCAGACCAAGTAAATTCACATACCTGGACACGGTTTAACCCGTTCATAAACACATGGCACACATTTCCAAGCACAGGAACAGCCACAGCTTGCAGCATTCGAAGTAGAGCCGACTCTTCAGAACTGAAGTCCTTACTCACTGGAGATAAAAATTCACAAAATGACAAATCCAAACAATACATCTTGCGAACCGTCACAAATTGCAATACATTTGAGAATTTGAACGAAACACACGGAAGAAGAGAGTAAGAAAGCAGACATCTAATCATCCAAAAACATTTGATGTCAGAATCATAAAAACAAAATTGAAGGCCAAACAACGCGCAATAGGAATAGCCAGGTAGGGGCTCAAAATTAGGAGGATATGTCATATAAATGAAATTGATAACGTCGAGCCAACAATACTCAAAGTGACGAAAACATGCATCGAACCTGTCCAAGGCTTAATCGATCCCGGTTAAAGAAATTGAACGTAGCAAATGTGAGGAAAAATCAGTTACGAGAAACAAGAAAGGAAGAATGAGCACCTTTTTTACGATAGAAAGAGGAAGAAGGCAAAGATTCCTGACGAAAATCACGACAACGGCGAAGCCAACGCTGCATAGTGGAGGAGAAATAACCTTCAGGGATAAACGTCGGCTGGCGGCGCCAATGGCGGTCGACAGCAACTCGGAAACGGTTTCGGAGCTGCAGCTGCAGAGAGCGAGCCTTGTTCTGCCAAAGATCTCCGCGATCAAAACGCGGCATTGATGAGGAATGGATGGAAGGGAGAGGAAATTCTGGAGATTCAAAATGCTACTGGGACACGGGAGGAACTTGGAGTGAGAAGAAGAGTGGCAACGAAGCACAAGTGTCGAGAGCAAATGAGGAGAACGTTTACAATGCCCGCAAGGAAGTCTGCGCAGATGGCTACCTCAGCCTGTGTGCGCATAACGCGCGTTTCTCAGGAATTGGGGCCTAGGTTTTCTTGGATTAGGGGTGGGGATGTACTTCAGTTTCAAAATTCAATTTTCAGCCAGACTCAGTCGGGCCCACAAGGCTGCTCCACTGACTAAAATAACGACATGTTGGATAAAGATGGCCCCAACTTTTATTTGGTTGTTATGGCATCATTCTTAGTTAGTACTTATATCAAAATAGATTAAGGTAAAATTGAGATATTATAATTAAATAATTATAATTAATATATATATAAATTGAAAGAGTCAAAGCGGGGCACGTGGCAGAAATAGTGCTGCTTCCATTCTCGAACTATGATTGGCCAGAAAAAAAATCCCCAGTCCCAGCATGCCCATCCAAATTCGAGTTGCTCATTTTTTAAGATTGTCTCTTGATGGATGATGAAAAGGAGCAATTTCTCCTCCACTGTCTTTTAACAAGGAGAGAAAAAATTTATAAACTTAACTTCATATACTCGACGATGAGGTGTAAATTTAACTACCATCTATTTTTTCAAGAACACTAAGTAATTTATATTATATGGTGGTATAAAATAAATTGTTAACTTTTAAAAACAATGCATCCAGTATAGTCTCAGTTAATTTTACTTAATGGACATTAGATGGGCCCACAAAATTTGATTAAAAATGACATGTGACACTCTATATAAGCATGTGTAAAAATGTAAATTTAACCACAAACTATTTTTTGAGAAGCTTGGATAGTCTTTACTATTAAAAATAGATCGTCTAATATTTTTTCATTAATTTTGACCAAATATCGTTTATGTTCACACTTATGAGACCAAAAACGGGTCAATCTCTTCAAATGGGTTCAAAAAGTTTAATTGAAGACATTTACAATGATGAAGCCAATGAAGGAAAATAATTCATGGTTAAATTAAAATGGAATCAAACTTCTCTTACACGAAGTAGCATCTCGATTCAAGTTTATACTTCATTTGAATTACTATATAGATTTAAATAAAACTTTGTCTTCTCCCTCTTCTTCTTCTACTTCATTGGCATCGTCATTATGAATGCCTTCAGATGAGAACTCTTTGAACATTTTCTTTTCAAGATGAGATTGAGAATGCAAATAATAAGATTGGAAAGGTTGATATGTTGTGAGTCTTATAAATTTAAAAATAAATAGCATCAGATCAAAATTGATGGAAAGGTGCTAAATGGTCCGTTTTTTATAGTAAATGTACCAAATCCTTTTTAAAAAATAATTCATGACTAAATTTACATTTTTCTTTGCTTAAGTAGAGTACCACGGGTCATTTCAATAAAAAATTTGTGAGCTCCACATGAAAGTTAGCGTTCATTAACTACAAATTAACGACTATTGAATGATCCATTTTTAAAAATTAAGAATTTATTTTGTATCACCTTATAGTATGGGCTATCCCATGCTTCTAAAAAAATTGTTGATAACCAAATTTACACCTTTATCCAATATTTGTATGCTTGTTTTCAATCAAAACAAGACATGTAGATTTTTTATTCTATAATAAATTATTATTATTAATTTCATTAATATATTAAGATCCACTTGTTATGATTTAATTAGATATAATTATATTAAATATATAAGACTAAGGCATTAAGATATAAGTCTTAGCCATACAATTTTATCTTACAAAGTATTCTATAATGCAACTTTCAACGACTGACTGTTCACTGCAGAAAATTATTACCATCTCCAAACTAATTTATAAAAAATGAATTATATTTAAATTGTAATTATCACTTATTTTTAATAAATAAGCTTGAAATTCAATCCTACTGCGGATAACATTCTATCACGTTTCACTACAAAGATTCATTGCTTATTGCCACCTATTCTTTAATAACTTTAGGCTATAAGCCTATAAGCTTCTTAAAATATCAATTCCCTTCCCTGTGCTTGAACGATTTTTGCGAGAATGAGATTTTTTTTTATAAAAAAAAAGTCATGCATGCATGATGAAACTTATTCATTGCTGAGGCATAAGTCTAAGTCCAACTCTTTGTTCTTCACGTCCTTCTTCCTTCTAAGTTCTTCCTCCATCTCCCTCTCTTATTTTTAAGGGTTTTTCCTCCGTTGCTTCCTCAATCTTGTTTAATTTGCATTCCTCCTTTTCCCCCCCACCCTTTTTCCACTTCTTTTCGTTCATTCATTCACTTAAAAAAAAAATGTGTTTACTATTTTAATTTCATTTGTCACTTACCAATGTAACTTGAGCAACTTCATTAAACTTATCTCAAGTCTATAGATCTACAATTAACCCTGTAGCAATTAGACGTGTGACTTGTTCCATAAACTCTTGACAACTTTAATCTCTCCAAGTAATCTCAAGGCAAGCCTGCCTCTCCTTCACGACTTCACGTGGAAAAAACAAGATTTTTAAATAGTGAAAACAACTCATTAAATGCCAAATCTCTCAAAAGTGAAGAGTGCAGCCACGAATTTTGAATTCAAAAAAAAAAAAAAATCAGACGATCTCATAGTATTACAAAATGATGATTAAACTGACCAAAAACAAGCCTGTTAATCGGAGTGATTACGTAATGATCTCACAGGCAAGGATTGCGCAAAATCAATGACATGATAAGAACTAGAATAAAAGAGGATTCAGCCAAATAATAATAATAATAATAATATTCAGTCAAAAAAGTTGCTACTAGAACATGGCTATTAATTGACGAATAAATATATATACATACATATATATATATATATATATTATTCATGTATGTGGAATGGGAAAATAGTTGAATCACGATCCCGACACAGCACAAGCTTGTGTCCTTTGCGTTGCCGTTGCCATTCCTGTAGCCTGTTTCATCTGCTTTGCTTATAACTTGGTCCAAATCATTCTAGAAAGCATTCTTCCAGCATATTCAGTTCATCTTTCCAGCAAGGACCATAACCATATCATCATTTATATCTGCAAAAGAAACATTCTCAGCTACCAAAAGGGGGAAAAAAAGAAGAAAAAAAGAACAAGAAAAGAAAGAAAGAAAGCAGAACAATTAGGAAATAACGCGCAGCACCAGCATTCATGAGCAGTAAGTAACTTCCTAGGTATCCATCACACGAGGGAGAGGACGTAAAAGTATCAGCATATCGAAGGAAGGATCCAGAGTGATATATATGAGGGCAAAATTTTAAATAACATAAAACATGGGGCACAGATTTAGTTTTAACAATTTTTATAAAATTAAAGTTTAATTTTATCTCGATACTTATTGAGGAACGTTAAACATCCTATACTCTTAAATGATGTTTTAGAGGGGCAAAAATGCTCTTATGTTAATTAACCATTAAATATTCCATTTTCTGATTATTTGTCATCACGTGGGACCTGGCAAATTGTCAGAAAGCCAAATCCTCTTCTCATCTGACCAAGTCGTCCTCCATTTTCATGCTTGTCAATCGCAGCAAAGAAAGAGTGCTTCAGTCATTCCCTTCATCCTCTGTCATTCATCTGACCAAGCCATAAGAAGAGCTTCTCCCACCTCTGCTTCCTTTTCCATCTGCTGCCTTCCTTGTGAGTGGACAGTGCTGCATCTGAGGCAAAGATCACAGGCGGCTTCCTTGTGCCTGAACTTCGACGACAAGGCGCTTGCATGAAATGTTACAAGTCTTTAGTTATTGTTGTCGGGGGCAGAGAGGAGTTTTCTGGGTATAGATGTAATAGTGTGAGTTAAAGAGAGATTTGAATATTGTTCAATTTGAAATTTGCCAATTGGGTTCTTTAATTTTTATTCTTATCCAATCCATAAGTCTATTGCTTTCTTCATTTTGATCGAGCTTCTGGGGACTTGCAGTGCTCCGATTGCTCCTCTCTCTCTACTGTTGAATTTGTTTCTTCCAATAAAGACAGGAGAAGGTTGATTGGGTTTGAGAACTTGTTGCCGCTTCTCGTTCTTGTCGCACAAATGTTGGACAGTTGTTCATGTGTATTTTCGAGGTTGTTTTCTAGAACTTGCCTGGCAGAGAACAATTGGTCTTTCATGAAATATCTGCCAAAATTGAACATTAAAAATGGCAAACACCCATTAGAAATTGATGGCGAGGATGGGCCCCGGTCAAACAAGCTTACCAAGATATTGGACCAAAGATCTGAAGGGGTTCGTAATTTGCTTGAACAGCAACCTTATCAGGACAAAGATTTGCTATGCATGGGCCCACATAGATGCCACATAAGAAGATGGAGGAGGAGATAGCATCTCAGTTACAAGAGGGCTTTTTTGCTCCTCAAAAAAAAAAAAAAAAACTTAGGGGAAGAATTGACTCACTTAAGAGTACAGGATATCCAACACTCTTTGAAAATAAATATAAAGATAAAATTAGACCTTAACTTATTTTTATAAAGAAAATTTTAATAATTTTCAAAGGGAAGTGGAAAGCATGGGTGGTTGCCCCCCTAGAGCCATCCCTGAACATATCCAGACCCTTTTCAACATCTGTTCCTAAGTCGTCTCATGCAAAATCATGGCTTTTAAAATATCTCTTCTGCAAAATTAGTAGCCTAATTGACTTACCATAAGATAAATTCCTTTATGGCAAAAAAAAAAAGTGTGGGCCCAACATCAAAATGCCTGTTTCACAAAGCCAAAACCATATATATGGCCAAACATCCATATGGTGCCTCCTTAAACCCACCCAAAATAAAAAGGAAAGAAAACACAGGCGCACCACTGTGAATAAGCAACAATTGATTCTTCACTGAGCAAAAACAAAAACAGGTGTCAATATTTGAAAGGATGAGTTCACTTACAGTAAACAGATGCCCAGCCGAGAGGAACTAAAATCCTTCAACAACTTTGATACCAGCACCCTTGTCCCATTCCTCAGGAGGAGCAACATCTGCCATCACCTTCTCCTGACCTCGCCAAAGAATCTGGAAAAATAGCATTCCAACATTAGTTTGGAAAACCACATGCATGTTTGGGAAAGCAAACAGAAGAAGAGGACCAGATGTTACCATTAAATAGCACTTACTTTGTCAATGACGCCAAATTCCTTGGCCTTTGAGGAATCCATATAATATGGTCTCTTCATCACGTTAGCTACTCTCTCCTCTGACTAATAATAAGAGAAGCAAGTCAAACAAGAAATCATTAGATTCTGCCTTACCCTTCACAAATAAATATGACATCCACAGACAATCTAAACACGATACTCACATTTCCAGTGTGCTTTGCTAGTAGTTTGACAAGAGTATCCCTGTTTATTATCACCTGCAAAATATTTCAAAATAAACAAAGGTTTCAATGATGCAAGAAGGAGTTCCATGGATATTTGAAACATATTACTTGGTAACAACCAAAATAACACTAATATAGGAAAATATAACACGATGTTAAATGCTGTGCAGAAAATAACAAATTTGACCAACCTCCTGTGCACGAATAAGAACATCACTGGCAGGCATCAAACCGGATGATGGAACACGAGGCTGCTGAATCATGGCTGAAATAGAAATCAATAGAACAGTTTCACATCTCTGTGGAATTAAAGTCCTGAAGTAGTAAGGTTAACCAAAAACATACCTTTGGAATGCGGCATCATAAATCGTTTACCCTTGGTCCCTGCAGCAAGTAGCAGACAAGCTTGACCTATTGCTGCTCCAACTGCCACTGTGTGAATCTGCAAAGGTAGAAAAATCTGATATGGGAACTGATGTGCTAAAGCATTAGGGGAAGAGTCAAAAGGCACCACTAATACATAAAAACGAATGCTACATCAAATAAATGAATGCAAGCTTGACTTGTAAGCACCAGAAACAGCCACTAAGCTACCAATAACACAAATCATAAACAGAATTTGGCATCAACAGCTTTCATAATATTATTAGCACAAATAGTTGCATCCTCCTCCTCAATTTTAGATTTCTACAACAGCCCACTTCCATTTCTCATTATATTATTTCCAAAAACAGTTAAAAAAGAAACAGATATACAAAATATATACGAGTGCAGAACTTGTATTGAACGGAAAGAAACAAACCTCATTTTTTAACTGCATCATTGCATCATAAATGGCAAAACCTTCTGTCTCCATTCCTACCTGAATGCAAACATCCAAAATACGTTAGAGACAGATGGGAAGGGAAGGGAGGCAGCTCAATAGAGTATCTTAAATTATAGAAACCTAAACGGCATGGACAACATGTCAATAGAACATGAATATTTCATATCATTTGGGAGTTGGAAATAAATGCAAAGCGTACCGTTTCACCATCATCGCGAGTAGTTCCAGTTGAATTAATATAAATATATATAGGTTCTTTTGGGTCCATCCACTGAAGGTACATCAACTCCGCCACAACAAGTTCTGTGACAGCTGGCACCAACTAACAAGCACATAAGGGCTATAACGAGTCAGAAAAATTACAGTAGTAAAATGCTGCTATCATAATCAATTAGCGCCGAAATGCAAGACATAGAAACTGTGGCTGAGTCGCTGAGAAATAACATACGCTAAACAACAGATGGAAGAGTATGGGGGAAGCATTTATATATGGATGTCTACTTTGTTAATGTTTACGAAATCTCTACGATGTAAAATATTTTCTTCACTATCTCCTCCAATCAATATGAGGCTCAAAATATGAGTTCCATTTGATTCACAAATAACATTTTAGTACATGAATAACCAGTATTGCAATAATTTGGAAACCCTTCAATGACTAAAAGCTAAAGCTTCCCACTCAGATTTCTCATTTAGATAGCAAGGGAATGAAATTTTCAATTAACGTACTCTCAGAGTTAATATTTTGTAATTAAGAGTAACAAGGGTCATGGCAGATGATAAAACGGAAAGAGTGAAGATCGAATCGGAAGCATGATTTGGTACTCACAGGCATGCCAATATAAACAATTCTGCCATGAAGAAGCAGTGAAGGCAAATCAGGTGGAGGCCTTCTAGGACGGTGTTCATTGTATGAAACAGATCTCTCCACCTATTTCAAGTAGACAATAGCGTTACTTGAACAAGCATAACCAACAGCAATATAGAACTCAATTGATTAAGACTGCTAAAAGGACGCCATATGTATTACGTAATCATCCTAATCTCTAACCAAATTCTGTTGACACCACATCCCCTTTTAGGATGTGATTCTCAGGGATTTATTCCCATCCCTTTAAAGGAGAGAACTTTGAACGGAACCATTTACCAGAACACCGAATTGACCACAAATTTTACAACTTATAACTGTATAGTAAGCGAGAGATATATTACTTGGGCGGGAGTAGCCATGAGCTTGGGGGCCTCGAATATGTCCAAATAAGGAGGGACTTCAGAATTCACGGGACGGTTAAGCAGCGTTTCCGGAGAAGTGGCAGCTACAGAAGCAAGCTTTGAAAGAAAGGGGTCTTTAGGGTTGATGGGGGGCATAGGAATTTTAGCTTGATTTCTGGCTTTCATGAAGCAACATGTCCTAAAATTTCTCCTTACGGGCAATTGAGAGGAAGAAGACGAAGTCGGCATGGAAGTGGCCATTGGCGCCCACATATAAGTGGACATGCTTTCTGATTCAAACTGTATCTCTGCTAATTCCCGGGTTCCCGTCGGATGAACTGGGTTCGAGGCTTCGCGCCGACCAGGGAGTGGGAGGCTGGGAATGCACAAGCGACCCTGTTTATGTTTTTTTTTTTTTCAAGAAAAAAATATATCTTGATAAAATTTCTCTCGAGTCTCATCTCTCGAGTCTCGAGTCTCTTTCATAGTTCCCCAATCCCCACTTCCCATGCGGCTCTTTTATTGGGCGGGCTTCGACCCGATCGGATTTTTAACTTGGATGGGAAAAATGTGTCCTAACTCCCAAGGCCCTGATTGTTAAGTAGACCTCAATTCAAAAAGATTATTATTAATATTAATAGGGAGAATAATAATAAAAATAAGATTTTAAAATTATGTCTGATATAAAATAATACTTGAAGAGAATAGTTATTTTTATTTTGTTTTACAATTCAACATATGTTATGAAAAGACTATAATATTCTTTGAAATAAAAAAAATATTGTAATTATCCTCCTCACCTTTACCTTCTCTTGACGAGCGACCAAGGCAGCACAAAGTATCATCTTCTCCAACCATGCTCCACACTCTACCACCCCTTCATTGCAAGATCTAAAGGTCGTTGGCTGCAAGATCAAAGGAGGAGAAGGCGACTATGTTCATGAGACCCATAGGCTAGTGGGTGAGAGATCAGAGAAGAAGGAGAGTGCATCAAAGATGAAGGTGGAGACTAAGTTGAGAGATTGAACATGTGTGATGTAACGTCTCACTCCACTCAATACATTTAATAAATCAAGTTTATGGTAATCGAGAGATTAGCTCTAAAAATTGATTACCAAGATTTAATCTAAAAGAGAAATGATCCCAAGTTTTTTTAAATAGAAACAAGTTAAGATCGAGCAAAATCTTTCATATCGAGTTAAAAATAAGTTTTGAAAGTATGGGATACCTCAGATGAGTGAAAAAGTTAAAAATAATTGAAAATAAATTATGTCTTAAAATACAAAGCAATGCATCGCAGCGTGTTGCTCTTTGTGCCACACGCCGTGGCGTGTTGCATGAAAATCCACTGGTTTTGCTGTTAATTTGACAATAGAATTGAAAAACTTTTGACTCACCCCAATTCTTCGTCCGACGTCTGAATGACGTGATCTAGGTATCTACGAAAAGCTCTTTTCTTGTACTAACTAATGATATAGGTTTTACTTCCAAAACAAGTCACACTAGGAAGTTGGACACCCAAACATATTTTAACTACTTTTTAACATTTTTACACAAAGTGAGTGTCCAAAATCCTCAACAAGTACCAAAAGCCTTTCCTAACACATGGTCCATGTTCAATGGACCTAGAACTACCAGTACAATACGTCACAAGTATCGAAATATCATTATAACAAAAATTCACTCCTCAACCCCAATTTAACAAAAACAAAGGGGAGATAAGTTAACATTACATTTAACTTAAATCATTCAAAACATGCTCAAATATTCATTTCTACACTTACACTAGTATTTTGGCCCTATATACATACATATGACAAAAATACCCAAAGGCTGAGGGCCTAAAATACAATTCTAACATTTTCAACAATCAAAATAGTGCAAGTAAGGTAATATGCATCATAGAATTGGCAATTTATATGCTATTACACAAATATATCAAAACTAGAGGCATGCAAGAAGGAATGTACTAATTCCTCGCCTCTTTAGTCTTCTCCCTCTCAACACCAAGGCTAGAGCTTGAAAAGTATTAAATAAGAGGGGTAAGTTTAGCTACTTAGTAACGAACGTTAAACCTACCCTATGCAGTTATATATCAATTATAAAACAATTACATGCACAACAAGATCAAGTTTATAAAACATTTCCCCATATATCACATTTTATCATCTATCACTCTATAGCTTCTTTACTCACATAACTAGGTGTATTATCGCCATATTCTCAGATATGTGACAAGACTCATACTCTTGTAACTTGCCACCACTTAGCATGTGTGACACATCATATATTAACTTAGAAAACGATCAACCAGCCTTATATCCTTCTTATTTTCTCAGACTGAAACTGTGGGTTATAACATGGATTAGGGCTTCGTCCGTGTGACTGAACTACCTAAGCTCACCAATTGTGAGGTGTGACTCAGCTAAAGATCACAGGACTCACTCTTAAACCACAGCTTCCCCCATTCTCGAACCCCTGAGATGTCTCATACCCTAGGCTATTCTCCTCATTAAACTGGTGGAGATAGCTAGGTTATAGTCCCTCGACAAACTATGAAACAGCCCTTCTCGGGATCTTACCGTCACCCAAGGCACTGGACACTCTCCCCCCAGGCCCCACAATAGGGCGACCCCACCCCTTTCGGTGAGCATCAGGAGACAAAGGTTTCCCTGCAGTAGTGTGCGGATTATTCCCCTTACGGAGAGCCTCTCCAGGTTCGATCCTCCAACCTCTCCTACATAACAAAGTTGAGGCTGAACCTGGTACCATTGAATCAATTCTCAACTTTGTTATGTAGGAGACGTTGGAGGATCGAACCTGGGGAGGCTCTCTACAAGGGAAATAATCCGCACACTACTGCGAGAAAGCCTTTGTCTCCTGATGCTCATCGAAAGGGGTGGGGTCGCCCTGTTGTGGGGCCTAGGGGGAGACATGTAACACTCTCAAAACTTACAGACCGATTTTTCGCAAATTATTAAAACCATTATCATGGTAGAAAAATTTCTACCATGATACATCCAAGACAATATACCACAGGTCTTAAAATATCTCAAAAAGCAATTAGAACCATGAGAGACAGACATGATCCTCATAGCATGTTATTCAAATTAGGTCATGAATCAAAAGGGACAGACATAATCCTCTTAGACATATAAATGCATTTAATAAAAAAGATTAGAGTTTACATGCTCCACAAACAAGATATGTCCTAAGTTGGCACAAGATACATTGTATAATCCAAAATAAGAGGCAACGTAAAAGATGGCGTCTCATACACCATAATTACACCTCTGGTGCTTTCTCGGCCGGATTCGCTCCTGTAAAAATATTAACCACGGGGAATGAGACTTAAAAGTCCTAGTAACTAAAAATTAATACGTAATGATGCATGCGGATGTAACTAATCATGCAATTGCTAAGTGGGCACACAAAATATTTAACCGAACAATATTTTCAAACAAACCGAATAAGTATTTAATTTGCATGATTGCACCTTATATCCCTCTTTCACCATGCTCGGACGCCAAATCACCCGGCCAAAGGTGAGTTGGACCAAGCGACACGCCACTCATTGGGTCCAATGAGGGCTTACCACGTGGTAATAATTAACCGAACAGAAATTCCCATTAACACCATACATTAAAATACCCTGACGAGTCATGCATCATTCAAATATCCAAACAGAAATATATCCGAACAATAATATCTCATCATGATAAATAAAAAATAAATTTTTAACCCACTTGGCAATAATTTCAAACAAGTATATACAGTATTTATTTTCAATAATTCATAATTTTTCAAACAACAAAACAACACATAACCATTCACAAACACACCTATCACAACACATTAATAATGGTTACCTTATGTCTTGAATAACAAGTTCCCATTCACAACTCCTTTTTCACCACTATCTTTGTCAATATAATCTAAATAATTATTTCACAATACTATATATTAATTTTACATTAAAATAAATAACTCTAATTTAAAGAGTTAGAAAATCTTAGATCTATAATCCATATTAACACTAATTTAAGATTTATACCTCATTTAACTTCCTAAATTCTTTTCTAAAATTCTCATACCCTAATAAACTATTTTTTTTATCCTCAAATCACTTCTAGTATCACAATTTCATCCTTCTATATTCTAAAAATTCATCCAAAAATAAATTAAAAATTTTAGAATTATCCTGAAGCCTCAAATCACCTTTCTATAACCTTAAAAATACCTATTCATACTTAAATAAATATTTAATAATCATAGGTTTATCCCTACATCTCAGATTCCACATAAATTCAACCATATGAATCTAGATTTTAACTCAAAAATTCTTAAACATGAGTTTCAACCTCAAGAAAATATTCTATAATATTTATTATATCCCTAAGAGTTTTAACCTATATTTTTAATCCATCATATCATCAGATTAACTATCCTATAGAAAAATCTTAATCAAAATATTTACTCTATCCTACAAAATAATCATATCACTAGAAAGCTAATATTATTTAGAAAATAACTATAAAATTAATTTTGTAATTAAATAAATTTTTAAATGCTAATCTAAATAGGAAAGTTAGAACATACCTGAAGAAAAAGAAAATAATCCCCCCTTGCGAGAAAACGCCGAGCAACGTGAGAGGAAGAGAGAAAAATAATATAAAAATGGGATTGTGAGTCCCAAAATTATATTAAAAAAAACTATAGGTCTGAATTTAATTATTCAAACCTTTGGGGCATAAGTTGCAATTTCCTCTAAATTACATCTTAGCCTCTCATGCTTCCTAATGCACACACTCCCTCCTTATTATACATGAAGGCACCTCATCTCTTTCCTCATCTAACCAATGTGGGACTTAGAAACAACAACCTTCCACCCTTTTTTTTTATTCCTTCTACTTTCTCTTTTTTTTTAACACACACATAAAAAAAATTATTTATGTATTACATCTTAACTAAATATTGCTTATGTGGTTTTAAATTTAAATTTTTAAATTCATAATTAAATACCTAACCATAATATTATTTCTAAATAACCTCAAATAATATAAATTCCTATTATTATCATTTTTTTCAAAACCTAAATTTCACAATTTCTTTATTATATAAAAATTGGGATGTTACAGACTGTCCAGTGCCTTGGGTGACGGTGAGATCCCGAGGAGGGCTGTTACACAACCTGATTACCATATGAATTTTCTTTACTCCCAAATCCCTAAGCGAACTCCTGCTACTGATCATGTCATAATCATTACTCACTTGTTCTCACTTTTCGCTTTCATATACTCACTATTACAACAATCACATTGGGCTCACGACCTTACGCTGCCCAAATGTGTATTCTCATCATTTTCTCAAATACATTTCATCACTAACACACAAATACCTCTACACATCATCACATTTATCTTTAAAAGTATAAGCATTTTCAAGCCAATAAATGCTTTTTAATGCATTCAATGAAACTCATATATAATTTTTATTTTAACAATCAATTCCATGTATGTAACATTCAAAATCTCACATTCAACAACCAATTAACCATTAATTAACATACAACTATTCAAAATAGAGTTTTTCCCCTGATCACCTCAAACCTTTGAGAGGTCAAAAGTTTACTCCTCAATCAATTAGCTTCCAAGTTTAGATTTCCACTCCAATAGGTGATCAAGAGTTAAAACTACAATCAACCAAATTAAATTCTATCAACACAACAAACTTAAACAATTGAACCCTCAATCTCTACTTCTAAATTGCCTAACCTCCACCTTACAAGAGGTAGAGCCTAACCATTGAGTTTTATAATTACCTTTAGCTCCCAATAGCATTAATGAGCCATTAAATTCTTATTAATGGCATCACAAACTTCCAACCACCCATAATAAATGGAATTTTCTGACATTTATGGTGCCCAACAACCCATGCCATCAAAACTCATCATACCTAGGTTTAAATACTCTAATCTACCCCCATTAACTCCATTTGAATTAATAAATTTAGACTCATATATATGGACCGAAATCCCACTTCTACTATCAAACCCTAACCATAAACTCATAAATGTGAAAGAAAAGGGGAGATTAATGGGTATGATACTCACCTTCGGTGTTTGTAGCCTTTAAAATACTCTTAAAGTGATCCCCAAGCAAACCCTAACAGAGCATTAGTATGCCTCTCCTTTCTTTTCTTTATTTTTCTGTCTCATTTCCCGTCTGATAAAGTGCAGAAAATGGCCCTGCGCCACGACGGAGGCGCATGGCACAAAGAGGTCTTCCCTTACTCAGAGATGGCTATGCATCGCAGCAGACAATCTACGCACTGCGGCATATAGCACATCAACTTCAACTCTTCCTTTTCTTCTCCTTTTGATGCCCGGGTGGGCCGCCTTGATACCGAACCCACAACTAGGGCTGAAAAGGCACCAAACAAGATTATTAAACCTCTCTAGCCACACACCACTTTAATTTACTTAATTACCCTAATTAGGTTTAATTAATCAGGGAATTAAAACTCGAGATGTTACATGTGATGAATCTAATCAAATGCAGTAATGGAGATCATCATCTAGAACTAAATCTGGAATCTCTAGAACTGAAGATGATGATGGCAAATCTTGGACTAAAGATGTTGGGTTTGGATACTCAAACCAGTAAAGGAAGAAGATAGTGTGCATGAGAGGCAGGGGTAAGGGCATTTTAGTCTTTACAAAAATCAATCTCAAGTTTTATTTTACAATATCAAGGGTGGTGGTAACGGATAACCCCACTCAAGTGGAATTAGGATTGGGGTTAAAATCTTCATTCCCACATACCTAACATAGAAGCTTTAAATTAGTCTGTCCCAATCCTAATCTCACTTTCTCATTCCCGTATACCAAACATGACTTAAAGTGTAGTTTTTTGTCGGGATGGACTTGCAATAGCTAAAAGTTTATATTATTATTTTAGGAAAAAAATTTAAAAGGGAATGAAATTGCTTGAAATGACCTTCTAAACCACCTTTAATCATCCTAAGCCTATTTTTTTAGGATGGAATAGTCTAATATAAATAACATTATTATAAAATTATCCTTATCATTTTCACCTTCTTTCACTCTTTCACCCTCCTCACCCTAAAATTGAAAATTATAATTATATACTCTATCCGTTAAAAAATACAAAGCATTAATCTCATTCTAATAAAGTAGTTAATTTTCTTCAAACTAACCTTATTGTTTTCATAATTATCCTTATTTAATAGAGTGTTGCACTCTAAAAAAATATAAAGTGATTTATTTAATGGAGGTAACTTTGAAAAAAGATAATAATTACTTTTTAATAGACTAAAAAGGCTTTATATTTTTTAACAGAAAGAGTATAATTTAAATATATTAATTTTATAATAATTCTTAAATATTGATTAAATTAATTCATTCATTTATTTGATAAAACTCCCAAATGCAATGTTCCATTCCATCCCACTTCATCGCATTCCATCTCATTAATAACTGTTCATTTCATTCCATTATATACTCTAAAACATGCCCTAAAGATTTAATCAATTTGTGTTTGCTCATGTTAAAAAATTAAAATAACACGTTGCTCAAATCCATATCAAGTTGCTTAGAAGCAATGTCAAAATACGAGGAGGCCACAACTGAAATTTTATCTAAATGTAAGGGTCTAACATTGATTTTTACACACGACGATTGATACAAATCGGAGACGGCATATCCTTGGAAAATTAAGGTGGTGCATGATTATAATTTAATTATTTATCCCCTTGGTTAAGTAAATCTTTATGTCCAGAATCAAATATATAATTAGCAAGTCGATCTTCTGTCACACACGAAGGCAAATACATACCTATTTTCCACGAGATAATGAAATTCACTTGCCATGCGGCAATCAAAAGGCTCTTCCACAGGGAGCCACCTATCGCCAAAGCCAATTTTATAAGATGTCGAAGATCTGTGAATGATGCTAAGGCACCCTTAAGTATTCTTTTGATTAACTTGTCCCAACACAATTGCATACTATATATGATATCCTCCCTTCCCAGGCCTCCCCATTTTATGTATCCTTAGTTGAGTCATGCCTTTTCATCCATTGCCCATTATAAAGCACTGATATGGTTATAAGTATCAAATTCAATATGGCATGATATGTAAACACATCAACTTTTAAAAACTTTAGGATATGGATATGTGTATATAAATAATTGAATATTAAATATTTAGATACACACATAATTTCATATTTAAGTCAAAAATGACAATTTCAAGACGTTCAATGTCATCACAAGATACAATATAATAAGTAGGTAAGTACTATCAAATGATAAAAGATAATGATTAACTTAAATTAATTCTCATTTTTTTTTATTTTCACTGACACCATTACTTTTTTCTATAAGTTCTCTCTCTAAATTTGGCTCGCCTAGAAATAAACTTTCAACTTCAAGACTTTCAGCATCGTTTATTTCTTAACAACCCTATTAATATTCCATAATCTACTTTCTACAATAAAATACTTCTCACTCTTTCTTGAGAGAAGACAAAAATTTGAATGAACAAAAATTTAAGTTTTCTATTCTTTTTGGAAGCATCTTGCTTCTTTTTGGTGAATGAACAAAAGAGTAAATGCTCCAATTTTTTTCAAAACAAGATGATGAATATGATTGATTAAGAAATTTCAATACAATCTCTTGAAGCTTAGGAGCGATGGCACCATAATTGTTTCACCAAATTTTAGATTCTAATTACCATCTATCTTATAAAGAATCAACAAAAGAGTACTCATTTAACTATTCAAAAAATTTTAAAATCTCTTTCATAACTAATTTTCTCTTTTCTTCATCTAAAAACATCCTTCTAAAATATTTTTTTCGCTCGGTTGATATTTCAGCATCTTTTTATAGAGAGACTCTATTTGATGCACCTTTAAGTTATTGTGTTATATAATACCTTTACTAATATAATAACATCAATTGAAGTTGTGATGTAAAAATGATAAAGAAAATAATTTCATGAACAAAAAAAAAATCACACATAGAATTCAGTGAACAAGCAAGATAATGAAGTGGAGTAACATTCTTTATTCATATAATACTCAAAAAGTAATTTTCTCTCATGCTTATAAATTGATTCTTTAATTTGTTCTATTTTTAATTCTCACATCTCATAAATTTTTAATAAATCTAGTTACCACTTTATATAGTTTAAATTTAATATTAATAATCTAAATTTTTATAATAACAACCATTTTTTTAAAAAGTACTCCCTCTGTCTTAAATAATAAAATATTTTTAAAAATTTTATACATCCAAAAATATAAAATATATTGGGTAAATTAAAATTTTATTAAATGCTTCAATTTTATTATTATCCTTTCTCTATCTATAATTAATTTTTATTTTTTATCTTTTTAATATATTAAATGATGAATATTTTTAAAAATTTATATTTTTATTTTAAAAAAACAATATTATTAAGTACATCTAATAAAATTTATTAATATGCAAAATTTTTTTAAAAAATATTCCATAATTTGAGACGAACAGAGAATTTGTTAGTCAATACTTACGCGATTCAAAATATTTTTAAATAATTAATTTGTAAAATTTTTAATATTAAACTTGGATCTTCAAAATATAAAATACACACACATGCACTTGGATAACCGATTTATAAAAAATTAAATATTAAATTTAACTCATTAATATTAAATGTAGATATTTTATTATTGGTAATCAGATTTAATAAAAAATTGTAATTTTTTCATTTTTACTAAAAATATTAAATCTGAATATTCTGGAAGATCCAGATTCTGCTGCGGAGCCTCGGAGGAGGCATCAGAGAACACAGCCAAGCCCTTAAGTTTCATCTAAGTTATAGACTAAAAGCATCGCTGCACATGAGAAGGGATTGGCTGTCTTCGGCTCATGAAAGTGGTGATATTAGATCAACATGAGTACTCAAACCATCACGCTGTTAAGCTCCAGTCATCACCTAGCACCTAAACACTCTTTACAACAGAACCGGGAAACAAACAAATAGCTGCTTCCTGATACAACAACTTAAACAGTATACAGGAGAAAGAAACAACAACCAGAAAAATCACAAGCGACTAAAGCAACACAATCCCTTACATTTTACAAAGACAACAACAACCAGAAATATCACGCCTTATTTTCACCGAAAATCCTTGCAATCTTCTCCGTAGGCACCAATGGCAGGTAGGTCGAAACTCTATAACCCTTCTGAGCGGTGTAAACAACAGTCTGGTTGTACTTCTCCGTACAGAAGGCTGCCGTTGGAATAACGGCACTAGCAACTTGCGGGAACATTGGCAGCTTGTTCAGCTTCTGCCATGCGGACACCGCACACTGCTCAGCCTTCGGCTCAAACTTTGCATACAGCTCCTTGGCTGTAGGTTCGTACTTGGAGTACGCCGACTTAGCCAAACCCGACGCAGTATCTACCACACCAGCTCGCCTAACTTCAGAAACCACGGTTCGAGCCGCCTCCGGAGCTTTTTGAGCGACAGTGAAGGCTTGGGCCGATGCCTTCTTGATGTTGGAAGGTACATGGCGGTCTAGCTCAGTCAAGGAGTCTCCCACCTGCGGATAAATCACGCACAGCATAAATCTCTAGAGCTTCAATCATCAGGCAAACCTAACAGATTCGTCTTTTGCCTTTTTGATTTTCAATTAAAACGCAGTATCGAATCAAATCTGAGTAAAAATTCTGATAATGTAATTTTGATTAACTTCATTTTTACATTGGCAGAAAACAATGGCAAGCAGGACAAATTTCTCCATTCGACCCTGACCTTGCGATCAACGTATTTAAGGACTTCGACAGGGACGTCATGAAATTTATCGTATACAGGTCGAATCACACTTTTGACGGTTCCCTCCACGCTCTCGACGCCTGGCTTGAGGGGGCCAGAATGCTCCTTGGCATAGGCATAGAGGATGGAGAAGCGCATGAGGGCATGAATAGCAGCCACTTGCACAAACGCCAGGTACTTGAGCCCCGGTTCATCTTCCCTGGTAGCCTACCACCAAATTCAAGAAACCGTATAAATCGAATTTGTTGGGAATCAAAATCATAACATGTAAAATAAAGCCAAAAAAACCCTAATTGGATTGCGATCAAGGAAATTCAAAATGAAAGGAACTAGACGAAAAGCTCCTTTTGGTTGTTCACAGAAGTTGATCGAATAAAAACACTGTCCACAATCAGTAAGGCGATCGATAAAGAAAAATCAGAAAACAAACAATTGAATCAAAAGCCCCGAACAAGAAGACAAGGGTTAATGATTGATTAAGTGCGTGTGAGAAATTATAGAGGGAAATTGAACGAGCTTATGGCGGAGCTTACAAGATGTTGCTGGGATTGGGGAAATTCCTCGGCCATGATCGCAGAAGAGTTTTGATCCGAAGATTTCTGGAAGGAGATGAAGAGGAATATGAGATGTTTTGTAATCGTATGATGCTAAAAATGGGAGTATTTGAATGGTGTGGATTGGGAAAATAGGAGGATTATATAGCAAGGGAGAGAATAAAGGAACAATGAAAGAAGCTTCCAGAAGCAGGTGGAGAAACCGCGGTGAGAACGAACGGCGGTGGTGTGGATGCGAGATGCTATTATTTCTTGCTGGTGCTCTACCTGGTATTAAGCTTAGATTTCGGTGGGAAATAGACCGTCATCGTTTAGTCATTGACTGCTCTTTTGGTTTTATACTTTTATATGTATTCGTCGCCAATACTTCGGTCTTAAGTAATTAATCCACAAGGTAGGTCGAAGCCGCACCCACTTGAACCAAAAGGATCAAGGTGTGGGTATCTAGGTTTTCGCAATTTTTTTAATTCAATTTAACAAGGCTGTGGTTCCAGCTGATAAGGCCCTGGCAGAAACAAGTCCATCACAAAGCGAGGGACTAGGGTCATGCAGTGGGCCGAAGAGTTGGGTTATTAAAAGCTGGATTGTTTTTATTTCAACCCCTGGGCCAATTGAAATTCATGGACCATTATTTCCCTGTTCACAAGACTAGCACGAATATTTTACCCCACGAATATTGCGGACGAATTTGTCGTTCTTAGGCGTCAATTGTTATGGGCTATTTGCCCTAATCCAAGCTTTCTCACGGATGAACCCCTCCTTGTGTGAGTTCGTCCACAAAATTTCTCCCCCTCCGAAGGAGCTTTCAAAACTCAACAACAACAACAAGAAGCTTTATTCTATTAAATGAAATCAGTCACATAAATTGTATAATATTATTGTGATCTATCATATACTAAGCTTTTAAAAATGTCGTTAACTAAAAAATTTTGATCTAGCAATTTTTAAAATTATTCTCTTTGACACCTTTCAAAATTCAATTTATTTATATTTTATTATTAAAAAAAAAGAGCACGACATGATAGCAGTATACTTGGGATTTATAGGTATATATGCAATCTTGTTAATATTACTATCTTATTATATATAAGGAAATGATATACTCTTGAAACTTCTTTAGGTATGTTTGGATTATCTCCCAATTGAGGTTGGGGTGGCACAAACCTCAAATGGATGGTAAAAAGCTCATTACCAATTGTAAAATCTTGTTTGAAAAAAAAAAGAAGAAAAGAAAGGAAGCTACATGAGTAGTGAGACTAGAATGAGCGTTTTGGTAGAAGCTGAGAAAGGTAGCTTTTTAACGATCAGTGGAGGTGAAGCGTTGAGATATTGTAATATTCTTATCTCTCCTCATATCTGCGCCTAGGGATTGCTACTCCTCTCTTTACTTGGTCTCTCGTCTTCACAAGCTAAGAGGATGAGTTTCATGTCACCAACTTCCTAGTGGCAAAGCACACTAAGGTCCCTTTCTGTTGTATTTGCTAGTCTTTCGCTCCTTGGAAAGCTTATGGTACCAAGCTCACATCGAGCCACTCTCTCCGCCATTGATTCACTCCTTAGAGGATGGGGAAGGAGAGAACCAAGTGGTTCCATGGTTTTACGCTTTCACTTTGGTGCCATCGTCACTGCTTGCGAGTTTTGCTTCAGCTAGTTTTAGTTATGGTTTTTGCAGCTAATTAAACCAGATCGAGATCATATGCAAATGATTTGGGCATGGAGACTGTGTCGTATCCTTTGCACAATACACGAACTTTAGAAGCGATAGGAGTTGGTGTTGTCGGTAAGAGATCAAGGCGAGAGAGGACTTTAAGGGACGAATTGATAAGATGACATGGGTTGTGCTATTCTCGACGATGGCATGGAAGGCTAAGATGAGAAGAGGGAGAAAAGGGAAGGTGATGATGCTGGAAGAGAAAGAAGGGGCCATTGGACAATATCTCTTATTTTGTTAATTTATTAGTTTATTTTATATTTTTTTAATTTTATCTTTTTTAAAAAAAATAAAATTATTTTTTTTTTGAAAATGTCAAAATGAGTCACAAAAATATTCTCCCTCTCTTCTTATCATAGGTACCTTCTTTTAACAAAGATAAAGTTGAAAATTTTTTATTATTTAATTATACTTTTTTAAAAATTAATGTTTTTATTTATCAATATATTTTATATTTGTAATTTATTTTTTAAAAATTATAATTTTAAGCTTAATATTTTTTCTAAAATATTAAATTAATCACAAAAATACATATAAGAAAATTTATATCCATTTTTATCATTATATATCTAAAGTAACTTTTTGAATCAAATTTTTTAAACAAGTTTCAGCTTGCTTAACTGATTTCTAAAAAAAAGACATACAAACATAAACATGTTAAAGTCACAGATTTTTTTTTCCTAACCTCATTTGATTCTAATGTTAGTTTTGAATTTTCTTAATCAAAACACATGCTTATTTAATCTTGCAAGGCCTTCCTTGATATTCTCTAATTAACTCAGAATTTAACATAATCAGGGATTAACTCCAAATAAGATTAAACATTTATTAAAATTGGATCCTGAGTTTTCAGAGTTTTCTGACATGATAAAACATCTTTACAAATGCAAATTAGAGTGCAAATATTATGCGAAGGCATGGGGATCTAAAAAGAGTCAAATCATTTGCACAAGAGTTTAAAACAATAAAATAGTGCAGAAAACAGACATGTGGTGGCTTGTCATGCGTGCATCATGATGCATTGCACAATTTTAATAGCATTGTTGCTATTATATGATAGCAATTGGGATAAATTTTTAACACTCCTCATTTTTCTGTTCGACGTCCAATTAATATGATTTAGGTGTCCATAGAGAGTTTTATCCTAACTCTAGATGATGACACTCGTTTTACAATTGAATTATTTCTCAGTAAAATATAGGACACCCATTACATAACTCTCTCCTTTTCGTAGTTTAAACACATATGGGGTGTCCTAATTTCATATTAAGTGTCAAAAGCCAAATTTACATCCTAGATCACACTCAATATACTATAACAGACCTATACAATACACTACATCTTACAAACATCATGTATATAACATATTTTCAACCCTTAACCACTTAACCATAAAAATAAAAGGGGGAGCCTTAATATCATAATCATCATAAATCATTCAACTATAATGACATTTTTACTCACTTCTTACTTACTCGATTTGAATTTAAGTAGAGATGGTTTATCCTAGTTGGCAATATCATAGTATATTATACACATAAATTTAAAATAATTGAGACATACAAATTGGGATAATGTCTTAAGTCTCATATCGTTTCCCTTGACCTTGTCCCTATGAACTAGTTCTTGTAATATTAAAGAGAAAGGGGTGAGTATAATTACTCATTAATTAATGTTTATATAACTTATACTAATGCATGTTAATTAATTAAAATGCAAATAGCAAAATATTGTCATACCTAAGACAAATTAACATATTCAAGCACATATTTGCATTTTTTATCATCAATGGTATAAATTTATGAAATAATATCATAATAATCAATGTTTATAACAATATAAGGGTTAATAACATGATTTCATCTCAAGGGATACAACATAGACAACCATATACCTTTTTTATCACAATATGCATTATCACACCTCTTTTATATCTTTCATATGCTTCTGACAGGACATCGTGAGCTAACACATTGGGACTATCTATGAAATTGGACTGTCTTAGCCATTCACACGCGAGAGGCCACCTGGCGAAGGTTGCCTAACTCTCTTGTGGGTCAATATTTCCTCCAATTATCATATTGTGAGGTGTCATTCTCCTTAAACTATCTTCCTCGTTGAATAAGTGAAAAACTAATTAGGTTCAAGGTCTTCATAGAACAAGTAGGATAATTTATCATCGAACAAGTGGGACGATAAGTATAAAAAAAAATTAGGCAAACCATTAAGCTCTGATGAAAGCCTTACCATGTGAATTTCAATTCATTGCTTCTCTTCCTAGATGAACCCATGCATTTTATGATCATGCAATGCATGAAGATGTAATTTCTCATAGTACTTATAAATTACATGTTCATCACATAACACATTATGTCATTGAATTTTTCTTTACACATATTCATTGAACCGCATTCACAAATATTCACAGAACTCCACAATCAACATATCATTAAACTCTACAAGCATCACATCATTGAATTCCATGATGTTATTCTATAAAATCTCACATAAGCATGTCATTAAGTTTCACAAACACAATTTCATTGAAATTCACATGAATTAAGTCACTTAACTTTATAAAAACATAGTATTTGATTTTCAAGTAATTTATGCCACATTTTCATTTTTAATAATCTTACTCACTTCAATTATAACATGCAAATCATCAATAGATACACAAAAGCACAAGAAATATTTTTTCAATTATCTTAAATTTTTAAAATATTAAATGTTTACCTCTTAATTTATCACTTTCAAAGCTTTTACGAAACTTAAATGGTGCCAAGTCGTGATTACTCTACATTTATTCACACAACAATTATCAATAACCACCTTAGGACAATTTCCAACACCTAATTCACACTTCAACGCTCTTAAAATTCAATTTCTTTATACATAAATGTATCTATTAGACTTATTAGCTTTCTCTAACTCTCATCAACTCTATTGAACTCTCAACTAGCTATTGATGGCTTCACGTTACTCCATCTTCCTTATATATGGAAGATTTTTGCGTATTTTTGACTCCCAACTTCCAAAAATGCATAGAGCCATAAATATTAGGTTTAAATAATATAAATAACTCATATTAACTCTATTTAAGTCAACGGGTTCAAACTCATAGCTTTTATAAATCAAAAATCATCTTTCTCAACTAAACATTAACTTTCCAATTCAAGAAAATGTAAAAAGAGGAGAGGTAAAGAGCTCAGGAGTCTTATCTTTAGTGTTTGAAAGTTTTAAGATACTCTTAATATATCTAAATTTCAAGCCCTAACAAAGGTTTTTCGCAAGCTCCTTGTCTCCTCTTTTGTTTCTCCTATATTTTTTATCAGTTTCACATTCTTATTTTTATAGAAACATACTTGTGCGTCATGGCGCTTGTGGAAACTCTCGCCTTCTGGTGGCTCGTGTGTTGCGGCATGCCATGCATGTGATGCAACATGTGGTACAAAATCATTCCTTTTTGTTCTCACTTTTTGATGTTCGGGTGGCCTGACCTTGCTCCGAACCTAATCCAAGAATTGAAATTATAACCTAAAACACTTATTAGCTTTCTATAACCACACATCATATTAATTTACTTAATTAACTTTATTTTTCTTTAGG